GACTTGCTGCAGAGGCGAGTGGTGCAGATGCGAGTGATGCAAATGTGGGTGGTCCTTCCACCGCTCCAGCTGAAAAGCCTCCTCCACCTGACAGTAAGTTTTCGGGATCGCGATGAATCCGGAATATCACTCATGCGGTATGTTTTAGAACCTGTTACGGTGGAAGAAATCTTGGATCAGCTTGCTTCGAGTTCGAGTGCTCCTTCCACCATCTCACATGCGAAATCTCCTGCCACTCACGGTAAGTCTGAATTGCGACATCTCCAATCCGGAATATTACTCATGCGATATGTTGTTTAGAGTCTGTCAGCCTCGATGTCTTTTTATCAGATCCACGAGTGCGTGAAGCGTTACCGAAGATTCGAACGCTTCCTCTTAGGATACGCGGCACCGAACACATCCGCGTTGTCGACAACAGGCGCTGCGAAGTCGACCTTTGTATCGACGAGACATTAGCTTTGTCCGGCTTCGACCAGCTTCCCGTGAAATCGTACCTAGGACGTGGGCTTTATCGAAGATACACACTTCCTGCGACGTCGTTCGAGACATGCCCTCCCAAAATCAACAATGATGCCCTGGTCATCGCAGGTGAACATACCGGTACAGTGGCATTTGTAGTATCAGGTGGCGAGGGGACATGGTTGTTACGGCCGCCTCAAGCGAAGCTGCCTCGTTGGAGGTCTAAGAAAAAGCCGCGTCCGCAGCCGGTGGAGATCACGGTGTCGTATAATGACCTGATCTATGTCTTAAAAAGACAGTAGTTAGTCGTCTGTACTTTGTCACGAGCGCAAATAATGAGTCATAATCTGCCATCTATGCATATCCTGTGTGATAATAAGTTCCAAAGTGCCTTCTAAAAGACAAAGTATGCAAAAGTGTGGTTGCCCATCATATATCCAAAATCTGTGACATTAATTGTAGTGTGCGTAAATCCTTGTGTTAAATTCATGAAATAGACATAAGATTTGCCCTTACGATATGGTTAAGCATATTTTATAATCCCATTATCATTTACAAATGCCCAATGTGTAAAGCAATCTGCCGGTTTGACAAATAGATACCCAATTTTTATAATACTAATTCACATTTTCTTTCCATTTTACATGCAGAAAAATGGCCCCATGTCTGGGGTGTGGGCCAATGGCTCCAACAACATCGTCATGCGAATTAGAGGCGCTAATACAGCCCATACGATCATGCGTGGAATACTTTTCATAGGAAACCGATAGAAAATTTGTGGCTAAGTATAAAGTCCTGGAAAAATTGTGAAACAAATGATGTGTTGTTCGGTTGAGATCTTAAACCCGATTAATTATTCATTTTATTGTACCATGTGTAAGGTATGATACCGAATTCGGCAGCGTCGGCTTTTGCCGAGTCTGGCCGATTGCGTTGACCCTCGTCGGGCTCACCCCGTTGTTGGCACCATCGAGCTTTATGTGAGTATCTCGTTCATTCTCGTTCATCTGGCGTCCCTTTGGAGATGCGTGCTGCTGTTGCCGTACTCAGACGGTGTAGCCGATTCGGTTTGAAGCGTTTGTTGGATGGATGGCACCATGCAAGGTCGGATGTAGCTAGACGGATTGCTGACGTTATCATCTTTCCTAGAGCACCTCACTTCTTCCCGCTGGCATCATGTCTCTCGTCGTTCCCGAGGCCCATCAGCAATTCCAGGTATGAATGTGCTGAGACAAAGACTTACAATCCCTAACGGAGCCAATGCAGCACATCTTGCGTCTCCTCAACACCAATGTTGACGGAAAGCGTAAGATCATGTACGCTCTGACGGAAATCAAAGGTGTCGGTCGTCGCTACTCCAACTTGGTCTGCAAGAAGGCCGATGTGGACTTGAACAAGCGGTATGTGTTCCGGCACAATATGCTACCCCAGTGCTCATTCACTCGTAGCGCCGGCGATCTCAACTCGGATGAGCTCGAGCGTCTTGTCACCATCATTCAAAACCCCACTCAATTCAAGATTCCAACATGGTTCTTGAACAGACAACGAGACATTATTGACGGCAAGAACTCACAGATCTTGTCCAACGGTGTCGACTCAAAACTCCGTGAGGACCTGGAGCGGCTGAAGAAGATCCGCGCGCACCGTGGTCTTCGGCACTTCTGGGGCCTCCGTGTGAGGGGTCAGCATACAAAGACGACCGGTACGTCCAGTCACCTGCTCACGGTGCCCCCTTCTATTCACGATGTTACTCAGGTCGTCGTGGCAAAACGGTCGGTGTGTCGAAGAAGCGTGGTTAAGCTTGTACATCTCCGGTTGGCGGTGGGGATCGGGCTGTAGGCCTCCTGCTGTCACAATATGTCTAGTATCTGTTTACGGTTATCATGCTATTTCGGCCTTTCAATCCAGACATGATGCGATTTATCATGTTTTGCCTTTGTGAAATGTATTTACATCACATTGCAATCAGTGTTGCATACCCTAAATTTAGGACTTGACTTGCCACTGTAGTTAAATATTAATTATCCTGTCCATATCTTAAACCAAGAATCATCAAAGTGAATGTTGTCACAGAGGTAAACTTGTTGTCTAAAAAAAGGCAAAAGACCAAAACAAATATATGAGGCTATAAAAAATGGCATTCATGCGAGAAACCGCCCCGTGCCGAACTCAAATACTTCTCCAATCTCTCCGAGGGTTACCTCATTGTTCTAGATTCGTGTCCGAGTTGTGTCCGAGTTGCACTTGAAAGAGGCTCTTCGTCCAGGCCTGACCGTTGTAATCGTACTAATGGCTGCTTGGATGCGTCACCCGGACAATCGCCTTAGGTGCTACATGCCTTCTCACAAGCGCAAGACGTTCGAACATGACGACATCTCCGCAATCGCACGCGACTCTCATCCTCCTCCTGCAGCCCATGCAAAGCGTCGCAGATGCGACGTCCTCGAGCACGGTCTCGCGCAGCTCTCATTGGAGAACCATGTCGATGGGCGAGCGTTCCCGTCTGCATCGCGTTTTCCACAGGGCTGTAGTGGCGTTACAGTAAAAGACTCGTCTTTTACGCCTCTGGCATCGAACAATATCCGTCAACCGAGCGGATGGGCGCAACTACCACAAACATCATGGCCGACACCCGCGCCCTCCTATCCGACGTATTCCGGGGTGTCTCAACAGCCCATAGTTCTCCCGGGCTCTATCGAGGAGCCGACGTCTTCTGAGTCCACATACGAACTGCCAGATGTCCAAATGAAGAACCGATCGTGGTATGAGCCAGAGAAAGATCGTAAGTTGTCAATGTGTATGATTCTCCAGCAGTTTGCATTGATGGCGTCGGTAGGCATCGTCATCACCGATCTCGAGGGCTCGGACACGGAGGATTCAGAGTCGGAGATACCTCCGAAGAAAGATGGCGAGCTAACCGTTTCGCCAGCTCTCCTTGATCGACTCTCAAAGCAAGCTATGACGCTACCGTCTGATAATTTTCAAGAGTCAGACACGAGCAAAGCTCTAGTATTGTTCAGACCACTGATCGTGTCACACGTTACCGAACCTGAAGATGATGTACGGGAAAGCGATAAGAAGAAGGAGGATATCCAAGCGGCAGTCGTGGACGAGGACGTCCCAATTTTGGACGTGGATGATACGATGGATGCTCAGGCGGATGATGCAATGGAGATAGAGCTGCTGTAGCGAAGTGAATCATTCCATTTTGGCTGAAGCAGAAGTACAGGGGCGTGCTACTTGAGGAGCGCACCTAACTAGAGAATCTAAAACCAACCTATCTCGCTGAACGATATTTATGCATACGCAACACAGCAACCATCAGTGAGAGCATGACGACAGACAAAAGGTAGAACGAAGAAAACGTGGTCCGGCATGGCGGGCAATTGCTATCTCCTAGAGGAACCTGCGGTACCGCCATAGTGCATCATGTCATTAGCCCTCTGCTGCACATCGCCTTTGAGAGACTCTGCGGCGATGCTCATCGCCGCACTCCGGTCCTCGGGGTAAAGCCTCTCGAGATTGTTGATGTATGAATGGTGGTGACGAGCATGCGCGTGGGGATGAGGAACGTGGTGCATTTGCATGGCGGCATATGGTGCGCGGAGACTGATGCCAGAAGGAGCCGGCGTCACATTAGCGGAGACGGACTGAGAAGACGGTGAAATTTGAGACAGATGGCTGCCCATGCTCGACGACGAGGATGACGGTCCCATGTGTCGGGAGTGATCATGCTGTGCATGCTCATGGTGGGACTGCCCGTGGCGAATATGCTCGCGAGGCTGCATCGCATCCGACATGCCCGGATGAGGGGAGACAGAAGTGGGGGTCGTTGGGTGAGAAAGGGTATGTTGGAACCCTACATGAAGCAGATTAATAGGCCCATTGTTATGTCCCAGGGAAAGCTGATGCTCGTAGGGGGACCGGATCGGCTGGTGCACCTGGGACGATTGGGGCTGAGGGTGAGATTGTGGTTGCAAGTGGCCGGTCGGCTGCGCCTGCGGCGGGTGCGACATGACCTGCGAGGACATCTGGGGCTGCGGCTGCATTTGAGGGTGGGTTGGCTGCTGGAGTGCAGTCTGAGGGCGGGGCCGCAGGTGCGGTTGAACTGCAACCGTGGGACGCGCCTGATCTTGCTGGGAGCCTGCTTGTTGGGGTTGTATGGCCTGATAGGCCGGCTTGACGTCTGCAGGACTTTCTATAGACATTTCAATATCCTTGTCTTCTCTGTCAGCGGGTTCAGCGTCGTCGTCGTCCCCATCCTGGGAAGTGGAAGCGGACGGGCCTGCTTCGGATGCCTGGATTGCCTTTTGGGCAGCTATCTCCTCTGCGGTGAGAAATCGACCACCGGGGCCGCGGGGGCGTCGCATCGCATGTTTGTGACGGGACTCGTGGAGGTATGGCTGGAGGGAGAGCGCGTGGGAGGCGCGCGTCGTGTCAGGAGGGAAAGAAAGATAGGAGCAGACAGCGCGACGTACCTTTCTCTGCCTCGAGAGGCGGTGTAGCTCTTCTAGACGAGCACGAGCTACGCGTCTTTTGAGAATGCGATAGTACTGTTTCGCATTGACGTAGAGCGGCTCCTCGTCGAGGGGCTGATCATCCTGGATCTGGTCGACGGGGGGATCCGGGTCGCGGTGCTCATGCTGCTCGGGTAGAGGCTGCTGTGGGTGCTGCTGGGGGTGCTGGAGGAAGAGGTCGTGCGGGGAGTGGGGGATGGGAGTCGCGGAGGGCGAGGGGCGAGGGGAGGGCTGGCGGGAGTGGTGGGGCTGCTGCGGTTGCTGCGGGGGGTAAAAATTATAGAGGTGAGCCTGATGGTGAGCTAGAAAGACGTGAGCGACGGCGTCGACGACGATGAGGAGAGCACGTACGGTATGGGTTATAGGGATTGGGATTGAAGAGGTGATCGACGGGATCCATTGGTGAGCCTGAGCGTGAGTGGTCCACCCAAGAGAGCCGCTGATTGGTGGCACACCCATTGGCCCAAACGCCCACGTGCTCGCCGCCACACTCTCTCAACACAACCACCATGGACGCAAAGCTGTAAGTGCTTTCCTCCTCTGTCCACACGCGTCCTCATCCATCTCACCAGCAAGGCACTCAAGGTTGTCGACCTCAAGGACATCCTCGCAAAGGCCAACGTCTCCGTCCCCAGCAAAGCTAACAAACAGGACCTCATCGCCCGTGTTCTTGCGTCTCCCGCCGCCCTCGAGGTCTACAATGCCCAGCATTCGCCTTCCAGACCTTCAAACCCGGCCAAAGGCGGGACTCTGCCACCCATAGTCGACTCCACCTCCGTCCAGAGCGACGACCTGGTATGTGGCATATTATGTCTCAATTGGCTTCCCCCGCTTACGCGCATTGGCCGTACATAGCTCGCTCCTCCTGAAGAGTGTGTCGCCTCCGCAGTTCATCATAGCCCATGACTGACTTTGCCACTAGCGTGGACTGGAATCTAGACGATGTTCCGTCACAAGAGCCACCTGCGACTCAGACAACTGAATCGACCCAGAAGACCGAGTCTACTCCCGCTCATCCTAATCTTTCAGAGTATGCATCTGAAGCAGTTCCAACAGTCGCGTCATTGTCCCCCGCAAAACCGGTGAGTACTGCGTTGCTCATTCCCCGTTCGTTGCTGAGCTATTCGCGACAAAGGCCACAGTGGCAGAAACAAAATTCGCTACCACAGCTGCTCCTTCATCTGAATCTACGTCTCAGTCTGCTGAGAGAAAGTCATCAGAGGATGTGGAGCTGGAGAAGCGCAAGGCACGCGCGACGCGATTCGAAGTACCCTTGGTCGAGCTATCGAAGGCAAAGGCAAAGGCGGACGCAAAGCCAGCTGGGGCTGCAGCGACAGCGAGTGGTTCTGCAAAATCATCCAAGAATACGCCTTCCGATGTGCGTGTCTCGTCTTATTCCTCCGTTGCCAGCCTCACATATCTGTCGCGTTGGTAGGACCCGGAGAAGCTGGCAGCCCGCGCCAAGCGGTTTGGTCTCGTTCAACAGCAGCAGCAACCGAAGCAACAGGGGGGAGCGGCACCAGCTGAGCAGAATGGCCGGCGGACAAATGGCAGGAAGCGTGCTGCACCCCCAGTCGAGATTGTCGATGCGGAAGAGATGGAACGACGAAGGAAGCGTGCAGAGCGGTTCGGTATGCCGGTAATGGTGAGCTATCGTGTTCCTCTTGATGTTCGCTCGTTCGCTCACGAGACCGAGATCTCTAGGGCAGCACAAAGGTCTGATTAATGCATTACGGAGGAGTAATATGAGGCTACTGCCTCCTTTGTCACTCATGTCTTTGACTTTGTGCGAGTATGTGCGAGCGTCGATTCCTTAAGCTGTCTCGTTCCGCAAGACTTTTGTACGTTCATTCTGTCAGCAGTCAATCAAGAGTATAGAACTGTCTCGCTTCACTTGGAGGCGTCGCTTTGTTATTGGACAACGCTGCCGTCAGTGTTATGAAGCCAATCGTAGCCGGATGTGTGATTGGGTTGCGATTGGTTGTGTGCATCCGTACGGGGATTGGTCGACGCGTGCACTGGTGGCCAGTCGGGTCACATGTCATCACGTTGTCACATTCCGCTCCTACGCCGTCACAAGCTTAATATCCTCGCCCACATCAAAGCACAATTTCTCTACTCGCTCTTTCTCCTTCTCCCTCTCCCACTTCTGTTCGATCTGAAACGATGTCGGCGATGACAGGGCTACATCAGGAGCAGCATGTCGCTTTCTTTACCTGCTTGTCTTGCACCACTGCATTCACATCTGCGGAAGACCAACGTGAGTCCTTCCCATCCATTCTTTCGTATCTTGCATCTCACAAGCTCCTATGTCGCAGGCGAGCACTACAAGTCTGATCATCACAGGTATAACATGAAACGGCGTGTGGCGGGCCTGCCTCCCGTCAGCGCGACCGTCTTCAATCAAAAAGTGCTTGAACGGAAAGCAGAGACGGCCATTACAGTCTCTCCAAAAGGATCTACCTGCGACGCATGCGGGTGAGTGCATTGCATGTTTCATTGTTTACCAATTTTCTGACAGTCACACAGCAAGTCGTACACGACAGAGAATGCCTACCGAAATCACCTCAGCTCCCGCAAACACAGGGAAAGCGAGCTCAAGGCTGCGTCGAACTTAAAAGTACCATATACAGAAAGAACGGCTGGTGGGACCCCCACAGAAGTATCAACAGAGCTTGCTGAGGTCCCTTCACAACGGCCGATTACCGTCGCACTCTCTGTAGATGCGAACGCTACTAAAGAGCAAATTGAACAGACCATCGACGAGAAGGTCGCAGCCGCTCGCGCACGCCTCTCACCTAATCAATGTCTCTTTTGCTCATCATCATCGGATTCTCCACAAGACAACCTCACACACATGTTAAATGTACATTCATTCTTCGTCCCCGACGCCGAATTCCTCGTCGACTTAGTCGGACTCATCGCCTATCTTGGCGAGAAGATCGCTGTCGGCAACGTGTGCATCTATTGCAACCAGCGGGGGCGGGAGTTTCGCACGCATGAAGCCGTCCGGAAGCACATGATTGACAAGGGACACTGCAAGGTCGCGTATGACTCTGAGGAGGAACGGCTCGAGGTGTCCGACTTCTACGACTTCACGTCGTCGTACCCGGATGCGCAGGAGCCAAAAAAGAAGAATAAGCACGCGAAGGCTGAAGGCGAGACGGACACTCACGAGGAGTGGGAGGAGATGGACGTGGATGACGAAGGCGACGTGGATGAGGTGGTCGACGAGGAGTCTAGCGATGAGGAGTCCGAGGCGGAAGACGATCTCCTCGACAACCAGGTAACGTACGGCGATTCACAGTACGAACTTGTCCTCCCCTCTGGCGCACGCATCGGCCACCGTTCCATGCGTCTGTACTACGAACAGTCGTTGCCGCGCATACCGCGTTCTGGCAAAGCACAGGACCCCAACTCGGGTGCCGCCCTCGTTCGACGGCTGCTCGCCGACAGTAACAATGCTCTCGTTCCTCGGAAGGGTGGGTTCGGCGCCTTTGGCGCCGGCACGGACGTGGTGAAGGCGCGGAATCGGGGCGAAGCACGCGAGGCTGGCCGGCATGTGCGCGAGTTCAGGGATCAGCGCCGGAGAGAGGACTTCAAGACGAAGATTGGCTTTATTAACAACAATCAGAAGCACTTCCGAGATCCGCTGTTGCAAGTGAGTTGATTCGTCCCTCGCCGACACAAACAAAAATGCTGACTGCTCTGCTTCTCAGTGAGCCCACAATGCACATCTACATCATTGCACCTTGACTATTGTATTCCATACGTAGATTCTCTGGATTAGGCATAATTTAATGACTGTTCAGCATAATGCAGCGGAAGTTGGTGGGTGGCCGCTGTCAGGCTGCTACGAGTATCGTAAGAGAGTTGGTGTCCATAATATCCAAGGGTATCGAACAGAGACAAGTGCGACGACAGCGAGTGTTTCCGAGCGCAGACATAAAGAGAATTAGAAAATCAATACACGTAGGCAGCTGGCACGACACCCTCTCTCCCCGAACGCACGTCGCGTGCATACCACCATCTGTAATGATTCGGTCAGTCAGATTGCAATGATCAGGAAAACTTCACGACATACGCAGCATCCCTATCATCTAGGATTTCAAGCTCCTGACCGGCAGAAAGTGGAAGCTCGCCCTCTCCAGTGGCCTCAAACGAATACCGCGCGTGAGCGGTCCTATTCATGTCCTCGCCGATCATCGTTCCATTGGCAGCATCCGACGGCGTGTCCGGACGGACATAGGTGCCATCGTCCGCCTCGAACAGATCGTGGTCGGCTGTGGCAGCCATCCTACCAGCCGTGGCCATCTCGCCTTCCTTCTCGGCCGCTGGCCCGAAGACGCTGGCGTCGCCGATGATGGTGCCTCGAGTGGCGGCGTTGATATGTGCGAGGAGGGAGGACGGACGGTGTGCTGAAGAATCATCGTCCTCATACTCAGCCGGGTCGTACTTGCCTAGTCTATCGCCGCGGCGGGAGAATAGAGTCCAAAGAATGCCCAGCAAGACGAGTAAGAACACGACTCCCGCTGAGATGGCTATCGAGATGAGGATGACCACTCCGGTGGCGAGGAAATCTAGAAAAAAAAACATAAACACACGCGTAATGAACCAGCTGAGGAATGCTCACGTCGCTGACTGAAGCTGAACGTCGTGTACGAGTGGATCAGGCCATAGACTACGCCCGCAGCTCCCGAAGATGTCGCAGTGACGATGTATGGAACTAAGCTCTTCCCGTCAAACAGAGCAGATGAAGCGTTGCCGAAGGAGGCCGATAGAGCTCCAGAGATCATGAGGACGCGATCTGACTGTATGATACTGTTGGAAGAATGTGTATTCTGTAGAGGTACCATGATCAATTGTGTTACGTCTGTCTCAGCTTCGAAGCTTGAACCTATGGCAGGGGATAAGTCGAGTTCCCGATGACATATCTCGACGCACTAACCGATATCAGACCATGTCTCGCCATTCCACGAGTACAGGAAAGCGGTCGAGTTGTCGGATGATCTGCAAGAATACCCAATGAGCGGTCCGCCGTTGGAGATACTATCAGGCGAGGCGCACCTGCCAGCAGCAAATATGCTGCTCGTGTTGTAGTCGTTCACTGCCACAGCGGTGACAGGACCAGGCAGATCATTGCCGTTACCGACCGCAGCCCATGAGGAGTTCGAGATTGTATAAAGCGCCACGTTTGCCGGAGCGCTATCCGCCAGAGCTATCGAGCCGGAAGCCACGATAACGTTCTCATCGTTCTGTATATACAAGTCAGCCAAAATCACGTCTAATTGTCGCACTCATCACATACCCCAGCATACGCAACAGACGCTACTTCGCCTTGTATCCCATTGCCGAGCGGGCTCCATTGTTCTGAATTAGCATTGTACGAGCAGATGGCCCTGCACGCGATCGTCCCAGCTTGTGTAAACGTGCCCGCGACAATGACCACTTCGGACTGTGAGAGAGACGACGTGACAGACCGTACAACGACACTGGAGCCCGAGCTCGCTTGTAATGCCTGCACGCCAACCAAATCCCATTGCTGCTGTGCAAGGTTATACACAGCAAAGCCATTCGCATCCGTGCCCTGAAGAGTGAACTCGCCGCCGATAAATAGTCTGTCTCCTAGAACAAGGAGGCTCCGCACAGTCCCGTTGAGCTGATTTCCTATGAGCGGGCTGATTGTATCGGTCGAATTGTCGTAGATGGCGACGTTCTGACACGTTTCTCCCGAAGAAGTGAAGCTGAAGTTGCCACCGATGATGACCACCTCTCGGTTCGATGAGCTGTTGGTCCAGAACGCGCCCGCGAGAACTGCCGGCGAAGCAGCCGCAGGGGCATCTGGAAGTGACACCAGCGTAATATCACGCTTGAACAATCTCCATACATCCATCCCTGGTATCCACGATCTACTCGGCCGAGTAACTTGTGAACGACGTCTCTTGGTCGTGCTCGACGAAGTAGCGTTGCCGCTGATACCATCCAATCGCACACCGAGTGTTGAAACTTCAGGCGTACCGTTCGCACCATTCTGGAGCATCACGAACCCAGTCGCGCCGAACTCGAGGGACGCCTCCACGTTGCCGGCAACGAACTGCAATTCATCTTCGCTACCGCCTGAAGATGAGTCGTTCCCGACGAAGGTCATGTTCCCGATCAAATAGCCTCCGTCATTAATCCACGTTCCGTTCACTACGTCCCAGACAGCAAACCCTGACGTGCTCTCCTCGAAAACAACGCTGGTGGCGGAGAACACCTCTGTGAAGTTGCCAGCAACTAGCAGGCGTCCGTTCGAACAGAGAATGCTGTCAACGGCGCCATTAACTCCGCCTCCCAGTGCAGACCATTCGTCCTTTGTAATGTCATACATCGCAACACCTTTCAAAGCTGTGGACGAGGACGACGTGGCGCCGAACGCACCACCGACAAATAGCGTCTGGCCATCGAGAGCGAGGGACGTCACAGCACCGTTTAGGCCGTTCGAGGATAATGCTGCCAATGCACCATTCTTGTATGCAACGATGTTGGAGGTAGCCGATGCGGTCCCGCTGGAGAGGGTAAACTCTCCTCCTAGGAACACTGCGCCTGACGAATCCTGAACAACCGCAGAAATGGACGCCGAAGAGGAGGATATACTGGCACTTCCACCGAGGGCTGACAACAGGTCGATGCCGATCTGGTCCAATGCGGTCTCCGAAGAATTTGCTAGCGTTCCGGTGGCGCTTACAGATGACGTGGACGCCAACGGCCATTCAAAGAACCCGAATGAATTTGCAGAGCCCAATGAGGTCGCATTTGTTTCTTGCGCGAGATGAGAAGCAGTAGTGGGGTTGGTCAATACAAGCTCTACGTTCCCAGCCACCAATTCATAATCGCCGCCCTGTCCGCTGCCCGTCGGATTGTCCGCCAAAGTCATGGAGACCGTCAACGCGAAGTCGCTCGAAGACGGCTCGACCGCCCCGCTGTAGATCAACATCCATTCGTCATCTGTGTTCTGCTGGGAGATCGTGGAGACCCAAGGATTCGCACCCGACTCAGCGAACACGGTCACCTCGACGCTCGTACGGGAATCGCAATCTCCGAAATCGTCGCATCCCGGTATGGACAGATACACGTTGTAGTCTCCAGCGGCCGACACGAACGGCATCCAGGTGAAGCTCGGGCCCTGGGACGCAGATGTGCCTACTGCAACCTCGGACACGAGAACTGCCTCGATGGTAGCAGGAATGTCTGTCGTCGCTTGCTTTTCTGTCCATGTTTTCGTAAATGAAACGCTGGATGAACCTGAGGCCCAGCAAGACTCGGTGTTGTTGCTAGCGATGGCAGATACGAACGCTCCGGAGGATAGCAGTTGGAGGATGTGTAGGCCTGACCCTGCACCTTGCCACTCGGACAAGGTTAGCTGAAACCCCGTGATGGTGATGTTATCGCTGAACAGAAAGTCTTGGTAGGGGATTGACGAGTTCGTCAACAGTGGACAAAGGGCCGTACACGTCTGGTCGCTTCCCGTTTCGGGATCGAGATAGGTCAATGTCTGAACTGTATTGTCCGGGATCGTGGTGAGACTGAATGGCATCGTTTCAATCATATTTCTCATGAGGACCATTCTTTCTCTCACCTAAACCCGGTTGTACCTCTTCCATCTAAGAACGTATTGCCAAGGCGTACACCTCTAGCATTAAGCAGGGAGTATGCTCGGACGATGATCGTCGCGACTTCATCATCTTGAGCGAACCATGTGAACCCCGGCCCATCAGAGCCTGATGGACACAAAATGTTGTCTACATCTTCGAAGCCAGACTCATCCGATGACGGGGCCGCCACGATCTCCGCATTTTGCAGTGATATGGGGACCAGCGAAGAGGAGAAGGATGAGGCACCCGGAGAATATGGTATATTGGGATTATTGGTTGTATTGACAGTGACACTACTGCTGTTACCGAACGAAGTGGTGAATGAACCTGTGAAAAAGAGGCTGGTCCCGGAGGAATTGGTCGTGATGGACAACACCTCTCCCACACCACCAGATAATCCTCCAAACGCTGGGGCCGACCACTTCTGCGACTTTGATTCCCATACCGCAACCGAATCTCCTGGGGACGAGAACTTTCCCCCAACCCATACGGTACTGTTGGCGGTGTCGCAGTAGAGTGCATGCACAGGACCATCCGGGCCTCCAGAATCGAGAGAGGAAAACGAGGAGGATGATGGGGTATATGCTGCGACATTTGTTGCAGGCGTTCCGTTGATTGAAGTAAAATTGCCACCAAAGTAAAAGACGTCGTTCAAAGTGCACCCAGCAACGATGTTGCCCCCGTCATTAGTTGAACCAAGCGCCGTAAGGGAACCGCCGTAAGAACGTGAAAGAAGCGTGGCCGTAGATGAGTCGAAAGCCGTGGTAGTACTCGAGTTGTCAGAAAGGCCAAAACCCGCAAAGGCACCGGCTATGCCGACCACGCCCATACGGTCAAAGTCGATCAAGGGTGTCTGAGCGAGGGCGCCATTGAGAGACGAGAGGAGAAGCGCGACAGAGAGGGCAGTGTAGCGTGTTCTACGCATATTTCCATGAGCCATGTGCGCACGACATATACGTGGAGAGTGGGTATATTGCGCTGCTGAGGTGAGAGAAAACGAACGGAATGGCAGGCAGACTAGCGAGAAGAGAATGGACGCGCGCGGGGTCAGAGCGTTGGCACGGCGAGCGAACCGCGTTGCTGCAGCCACAGCTAAAGCTTACGTAAGATCATTCTCTATGGAGCGGCACGTGGCCCTCGCAGACCACCGTCAACATCCGCTCTGCTGCCAGCAACGAGCAGCAACGTCCTAGGTGCCCGAACAGAAACCTGCCAAAAATTCATGCATCGTGCAGCTTACGTAGCGATGGAAAGACGAGAATGGGTGACTTCGAACGCCTCTCGTATATTTGCCATCTGAGTTTCTCAAATGATCAGCCACACAGTCTGCATAGATTTATTTTTCCACGGGAAACCTGATGCAAAAATGGTGAAAATATCTTATGTCTGGATATGGAAATAGTTTGGAAATTGGGCGGAGACAATTAAATTATGTTACGATTGTTTTACTGAAACATATCAGCAATAGTGAAACTATTTCCCAAAGGAAGATATTTCAGTCCAAAAATATGTGATACTGATATGTTTCGGTGAAGCAATTGTAACATAACTCAATTGTCTCCACCCGATTTCCAAACTATTTCCATATCCAGACTTAAGATATTTTCACCATTTTTCCATCAGGTTTCCCGTGGAAAAATAAATCTGTGCAGGCTGTGCCATCAGATGTTTTAGCTTATTATGGAGCAATTGTAATACGCCAGGGTCATCCGAACGCACCGTTTTGGTCACGAGTGCTCCCCGTGCGTCGCTGCTTATACATTGGACGCTATAGACACCACTAAGATGCGCGAGCCGAGGCCCAGTTGCTTTCACGTCTTACACATTCTTCCCTGCTTCCGGAATATCTGTTATGCCGAACGTGCGAGGACCGCATACGGGCGACCACATATAAACCACGCTGATATGGTGTCGCAGACAGCTAACACCGCACGCCCACAATGGCCTCTGAAAAGCAGATGAAGGATCCTGTTCGCGTCGGCGTCGCCATCAGAGCACAGCTAGAGAACGAGATACCGAAGGACTTGCCTCTGGAGAAGGATTTCCGTGAGGAAACCGGCTACACCGTTACAGACCAGTATGTCTCCTCAAATCATTCAAGGCACTCGACACAAACATTCTCCTACAGCGTGCAGGAACTCCACAAGAGCCTGGCGAAGGACCCAAGAACCCTGCAGCTCATAAATGCGCTCGTGTCTCGTCTTCATGGTTTCGCCAGGGAGACTCTGCTTACCCATGCGGAATGGACGAAAGTGGTGGAATTTCTTACGCGCTGTGGCAAAGAAAGCACGGACTACAAGAACGAGTTCGTCTTACTGAGTGACATCATGGGCTTTAGTGCGCTGGTAGATGAGCTCAACCATCCGAAGCCTGCGGTATGTCCTGCAACGTCAATTGTATGAGCCTCTGGCGAACAAGAGATCCTTCCAGGGTTGTACGGACAGTTGCGAAGCTGGCCCGTTTTACTATCCGAATGCTCCAGAGATACCTTCCGGTGCTTCTCTTGCAAAAGCCGGGACAACGGGTGAGCCCATGTTCTTCTACGGCACCATCAAGGACACAAAGGGCCGTGGCATCAAAGGCGCCAAGGTCGATGTCGTGAGTGCTTAAATTCTGGCTTCTCTGTCTGGTTACCTCGCTAATAGCCCCTCAGTGGCAAGCAGACGGTGACGGGATTTACGACGTACAGTATCCTGGCACGGAAGTCAACGACCGTGGCAAAATCCTTGCGGAAGACGACGGCACTTTCTGTTACTGCGGAATTCTTCCGACAGCGTATCCTATTGTGCGTGGTGCATTGAATGACAGGCAATCTTCGGACATGAGACAATTTGCATAATTTAGCCCAGCGATGGACCGTCTGGCGAGTTGCTGCGCGCACTTGGTAAGATGTTCCAACGCTTTCGCAGTCGCGCCCCTCATTCATATTATTGGGACCCTTTAGGCCGCCACCCCCATCGTGCCGCGCACATACATTTCCTGTTAGCAGCGCCTGGGTTCGATGAGTAAATCAAGCCCATTCCGGCACGATGACACGTCGTACTGACGCTGTCTTGCAGCCTTACCACCGCGCTATACCCCGCCCACTCGCCCTTCCTTGGCACCGACCCTGTCTTCGCGACGAGGAAGTCGCTGATCTGCCAGGTCACCGAGGAGCGCAATCCGAAACGCTGGGAGGAGATGGGCTTTAAGCAGGGCGAGGTCAAGACCGGTAGGGTGTGGGTGTGGAAGTACGACTTCATCCTGCCGAGCACGGAGGAAGTCCAACAATTTCACCGCCGCCGGAGGGCCGCCAAGTTGTGATCGGCTATTCGTGGCTTCCGTTGGTCGCAGTGTCTTACCGTTCTATACACGTCTACGGGTCTTGTACACCTTTACCACGACTACAAGAGCGTTCGATCAGTTTGCATATGCAGAATGTGATCCATGTACAATCTCTAGAAATCTCCAGCGCGCTTCACGACAGCATTGCTCACGTCCACCATTCCACCCACGGGGTTACCGTACGCCGAGAACATGTTCAGCCTCCTGAATAGACCATACACCGTCGTGCTCAGCAAAATACACAACGTTGGCCAAACAGACTACTCACTCTGGCGAACGGTATCGATGCACAGGCGGCCGCTTCGCAGTCGCGACGAGCAGATTATCGTCGGCGACCTGCATGGCCAGCATCAGGTGTTTCCGCGATATTCTCTCCCAGACCTCGGGCGGGGTGTGATAGTGGTCGATGAAACGCGCGATGGGGTTGTCCTCGCCTGGTGCGGGGGCAAACTTGTAGAATCCGACGACCCCAAAGGCGAGGAGGAGAAAGCGCCTCATACGCTTGCCCGTAAACTCTAGCAATTTTTGAGATTCAATAGCAAGGGCTGTCAGGTCGATTACAAACCATGATGAGCTCGTACTACGCACCTTCCTTCGGGTACACATCGATATCCTCGAGCTCGCCGTGGTGCGCGTCATGATGCTCGTCATGAGACTCTGAGTGAGCGGACCTGCGACGCGCTAGAGAAGTGGCAGCAGCCTGTCTTGGCCGTACGAGTACACTTGCCGCCCTGGCGAGCGACATTGTCGTGGAGGAGATGGATTACTTTGGGCTCCGTCCTCATCCGCGCGCCTGTGCGAGCGCGGCCACGTGGTGGAAGCGCGCCCACCGTATGCGCGACTTCGACGAATCGGGTGGCCCGCGTTTCTCTTTTCTGCATTGCACAAGTACTCGACCGCTTTTGATAGCCCGTACGGGCACTTGCGGCTACTGAGGCTGTTTCCAACACTCTATACGTGGTTCCGCAACATGCCGGCATGATCTCTGCTCGCTCGGACATCTCGAGGCGATGTAACCTTTGGTAGCCCGGTCAAAATCGCAACGCCCAGCCCCCGTCAGCCCAGCCTACTCGAACCTCTCTTCCGCTCTTTCAAGAGTACAAACTATCTAACGACTTCTCACTAAACGCCAAGTATATTACTCTTGTATAATCCACGATACTATTCGACATGGTCGTCTCTCGCATCTCCTACGCGCCCCAGCTACCTATGAACATCTCCCTCTCTCCTCTCCTCACGGGGTTGGAACATGAGGCGCCCTCCTCACCCTCGCCATTGACACTCAAATGTCCTGAAATTGGCAGTCCACACCTCTCACCCAAACTGCCCAAACAACGCATAGCTGGTCTTGCAAACCAGCCTCAGGAGAAACCCCTCCCCTCTGCACCAGCCCGAACCCCAGCTCTAACGCCAGCACAGGCACCATCACGAACACCACTGTCAGCCTCTGCGCATGGGTCGGACATCCTACCCTCACATATTATCCGCCTGTTGAATGTCCTCGAAGCGATGGAGGATGACGTTGCGAGCGAGGTGCGGAGGGTCGGCGCAAGCATCCGAGACGCGCGCCGGCTCGTGCAGCAATATAGGGAGGAGCGGATGCGCCGCGGGCAGAGTGTGTCATTCCGAGAGCTATGATGAACGCTCGAATAGATAGAATCTGGGAGCTCGAGTATATACGTTAAGATCACTGACACAATTAAACTTACTATGTGGCCACCGTCCTCTACAACGTCACTCTCCTTATCATGTACCTTGCTCGCGAACGCCCGCCTTCATTCATTCGCCCATTAGTCGAAGGCTGTGCATGCACAACACAGTACCTCGTTTCGAGTGCCGGCTGGGCCGCATGCCCAGAACATTGTGCAAGTTCCGTGCCCCGGTCGCCGCCTGCGCCTTCCACACCGTTGCCGCGAGGACGGTTGCGATGATCAGCGCGAGCGAGCCCGACCACATAAAGGCGCCTCGCCTCGCGCTGCGCCGCATCTCCTGTTGCTTCCGCCTTCCCACTCCTGAGTAGGACTATTCCCTTCCCTCCGTGAACAGCCATTTCTCCAATATAGCAATCAACTACCATGTGTACGTTCTTGACACCACGCACAACTAACCTAACGCACTGCCGCTGAGCGCTGACTGCTCGCACTGCCAGCCACTCCGGAGGTCTCCCGCCCACCTGCGCCCGCGCGCAAGCAGTCCATCAATCTCGACCCGCAGGCTGCCGAACGCCTCGAGCGCCATCTCAACCACCGGCCCGACAAGCACGATCTCATTGAGCGAAACATCCTCAAGGGTACGTCTGCGCCACTCATGCTACTGATAATCATATCTTCTAACGGATGGTGTAGATGATCACGTAGCACCCTCCTTGCAGGCGGCGAAGGAGCGGTTGCAGCGGTCTCAGCTCGAGGTGGGCAGCCTCCGAAACCCATGAAATGCGTACATACATCTGACAATGTCCACTATGATGGCAGGACAAGCTGGAGCACGCGCTGCAGCAGCGCCCGAAGGCCGAGGAACTCGTGCAGGAAGGAATTCTCAAAGGTGAGCTGGCGCACGCGCCTGTAGCACCAGAGCTGACGCGCTGAATACGTCTCCGCAGAGGATGAAGCACCCTCGTCCTAAGCACCATAACAACCCAGGGTCATGGGGCTCCCATGAAATACTGCTCTCGCAGGACCGTTGTAATCTATTCAATGTGTATGAGTAGGGATACGGACTCTAATACTATTAGCACGTCAGCGTGCACGCGGATTGCACAATGAGCAGGATCGTACCGGTATATATGACGCATGATATCGCTCAGTCCTTTTCTCGCCCGCTGCGCATGCGGTCGCGCATCTCCCTCGCAGCGCGTTTCGTGCCCGCCCCGCCTGCCCAACCTCTTACTTGCAGCCAGCGCACCAGCCGTGGAGTGAGTGCCGCGGTCAGCCCCACACGGACGGGTAGGAATAGTGTCTTGTGCACAGTGTACGCGAGCACGAGCATGGCGTACAGACTCTCCTGGCCACCCGCGCTCGCATGCGACGACATGCTCTCCATCTCCTCCCTGCCAGGCTCTGGCGGCCGTGAGTGCACGAGTCGAGTGAGATAGTCCTTGACGGCGACGGTAACGCGGGAGACGTGCTCGGCACCGATGAGGTTGATGCCAGCAAAGGCGACGGTGAAGTCTGCGACGGAGAGAAAGATATACACGCCGAGCGCATACCAGCCGTAGGTTTTTATGAGGTGCTTGAGACGCTGTGAGATGGAGGCGTTCGGCGGGGGGTCGGGTGAGGATGGGTCATCGGGGGAAGGCGAGGAGGGCCGGGAGGAGGCGAGGCGGGCGGGGATGTGGTGGAAGAGGCGGGTGGTAGAGGGTGTGCGTGCACCTGCGAGTGGGGGCGCGGCAGCGAAGCGGGTGAGGGGGAGGATGGGCTGTGCGATGCGTGGAAGAAAGGCGCGAAAGATGGGAAAGCGGGGGATGAGGCTGCGGACCATGTGGCGCGGCGACGGGGAGTGCTACTTGCACGTCGGGGTGGAAGGAGAGAAGGACGAGGAGGAGAAGATGGTCGACGCTGAGCGTGAGCGCGTCATGCTCACGGCTTGTTGGCCGAGCGGCAATGACCGATCGAGTGCAATCGATCACTGCATTGCAGATTTTGCTTTTCTCTCAGCCACCGGCCACCCTCCCAGCGACCTTTCATGCATCCCTCCAGCTCTCCTCGTGCAACCCTCCAGTCTCCGCCTCGATAGCATCCAGAAATCGCGTCCTGCTCGAATCTATGGAAGGCGATGACCAGCAGCCCACCGGACCCTTTGAAGGACCCGAAAAGCTGCTCGAGATTTGGTTTGCCCCGTCCCCCGCCCATGTCGCCGGCGCGTTCGCCACCAGTGAAGGTAGATTCGGACTCAGGAAGGTCCCTCGGCAGGTGTGGGCCGACATGCTCGACATCGTCAAGTGCAAGATCCTCTCGGTCGTCGAGGGTACGGAGATGGCCGCCTATCTCTTGAGGTGAGTATCCCTCCCGATCCCTCGATCGCACCTGCGCAACATGCAAGACCGGAATCGTCGATTCAAACGTCGTTGGACGTGCGGCCGCGTTCGTCGTCAGTCGAGGTCGCATCAAACCGTCGCGAATGCGACCGAAGTATGCGCAGATGATAAGCGCGTTCTCTCTTCTACTTGCATGCTTCCATCTGCTCCCATGGACTATTGTTCCCGTAGAGCTCTCTCTCCCATTGATACATCACCATGTACACCGTGGACTGTAGCTAATGGCCAATCCATCAATATAGTGAATCCTCTCTGCTCGTCTCTTCCCATAAACTCATCCTCAAGACCTGCGGCACGACCCTCAACCTCCTCGGCCTCCCGCGTATCCTCGAGATCGCGCGCGAGCACGCCGCCCTGCCGTCTGTCTACCGCTGCTTCTATTCCCGCAAGGCGTTCATGTTTCCTGAGCGCCAGGTGGGCCCGCACCGCGATTGGAAGGCCGAGATCGACTACCTTGACCAGATCTTTCCCAATGGCTCCGCATACACGGTCGGCAAAGTCAACGGTGATCACTGGCTCCTGTACATGACTACTCCAGGAGAGGCTTCGCGAGGCACCACGCGCTCCAACACGCCCATCGAGCCGGCGATTCCCCCTCCCGACGAGGAAGACGCGGAGCCTCCTCCTTCAGTAGCCGAGGAATCAGACGAGCCGCTCCAGGACTATACCATCGAGATCCTCATGACGCATCTCTCACCTTCCGCCTGCGCACCGTTCATGACGAGCGAGACGGCCCCAGAGGGCGAGACGTTCGACCCCTCCGCACACGCGATGGCGCTCTCCGCGCAGCTGGGCATCTCTGACCTCTTCCCGCCACAGCTCACGACGCTCGATGCATACTCCTTCGACCCATGCGGCTACTCGTGCAACGCTTTGCTGCGGTGGTGCGAGGACGAGGACGAGCCTGCGCGTACGGTGGAGGGGTATTACACGATCCATGTCACGCCCGAGGACGGCTCGTCCTATGCGAGCTTTGAGTGCAACGTGCCGCTGCCGATGACGCCGTCCGAGCAGGCAGGCTGCATTCCCGATTTAAAAACGCTTGTACGGCGCGTAATGGAGATCTTCCAGCCAGGGCGGCTCACGCTCACGCTATTCGTATCGAGCGCGGACAACGAGACGGCGGAGGAGGAGGACGGCGAAAGTGCGGTCGAAGCGGCGCAGCGCGCGTTCAAGTCTGCGCTGACGCTTCCGCCGCCCGGGCCCGGCGCGTGTGCGGGCCTGTACAAGCGCACGGACAAGATCAACTACGAGTTTGGGGGATACGATCTTGCGTTTGCTACGTTCGAGAGACGGCCATGAGTTGCCTCTGCTTCGTTTTTCGCCGCGCCCGCCTGCTTCTTCTTGAACGATTACCTTACACAACGACACCGCTACACGCGTTTACTCACCAGCCATGCTTGGAAGGACTCTTGCATAAGCGCACCGCCCGATGCGTACTCCCAGAAAAGGCTCAGATACGGTTACTATCTACGCCGCCCTACTTATCCCTCCGACAAAATCTTTGTATCGATGATTAAACCCGACCCGTACGTAGTACTACATCTTGAATAGCTTCGTATCGTTTTTTGCGTTATCGGATCGCTATTCGTTGCCTGCGTCTGCAGATACTAGAGCGAACGTCGCCGTAGGCACGTTCGTCTCACTGCCACTGCGTGAAGACGATGTGTGCCTGCCGAAGATGTTGAGCACACTGCTGATGCGAACTCAATGGTGTACGCTCGAGCGAAGAACAGCGACATGCCGAGCCGCTGAACCAAACGACGGGGATTTGGATGATCATTTGAGTGCTCGTTGTCTGATCCGCATTTTTGATGCAAGGCTGCACATGCATACAGCGCAATCGATCGATCATTGACAATTTGTTGTACAAGTCTTTATATTGCGTCCGCATCGCTGTCTCGTAGTACAGCCTGTGTTGAGTTGCATACGGTAAGCAAAGCAATCGTAGCAAACTATATTACAATCATGTACAAAACGAATATCGGATATCATGGCATCCTAATAGATAGACAGATACATTAGTCCCCGGTCCAACTACTACACGAGTTAGTCTTCTGAAATCGGACGATGTGAATACTGTGAAGCTATATGTATATATACTAGATGTCAGCAATAGATCGCGAGGCATGATGTTCACCGCCTGCTCAGGGATGGGCGAGGCGCCGCGGTATCCTCATCGGCAGGGATTCGAGGGCCTTTGGCGCGAAGTTTGCATAGCGGACATAAGCGGATGAAGAGTTCCACCATGGGCCAAGTGATGGTAGCCTGAAGACAGCGGAAAGTGGTTGGCATGTAATGGAGGTAAGCGGCGATGGACTCACCATACCAATCCGCCTAGCCTCAAAAAGCATAGTAGACGATGATCCGTGACTCCTATGTGTATAAACCAAGACGTCGTATATCTGCTGCTGTATAGGCACCCGTTCGAACACGGCAGCCGCCTCCAGCGACCCCAGCCCGTTCTCATCCAATGGGACTGGCTTGTTCTTATCGACCTCTCCATCCGTCTGATTGATATAATTACCCCGCAGCTTCTCCTCGTCCGCCCTGTTCATATTGTAGAATGCGTCCCGGGGCAGCAAGATAAGGTGGCGCTTGTGGGAGCCCGCGCGCGCGTGGTGGCAGGTGACCCACATCTGCAGCCGCGGAGACAGGCCCGCGATGTGGCCCTCGGAGATGGCGTGAGCGACCTCCGCATACACCTCCGGGATGAAGGTCGCCGTCTCCCGGAGCTCAGGCGAGAGCCCACTCGCGAATCGGATGAGCGCCTCCTCGAATGAGTGGCGTGTGGGCATCTCGATCGCGTTCACGGAAGTGAGCGTCTGCAGGACAACGTCTGGTAGGGAGACGAAGTCCGGATGGACCCAGGGATCGACATGGGGCGTCGTGACGATCATCCCCTGGTCGAGGAGGAAGGGGCGGTGGTACGTAGAGTGCGTACTAGAAGACCCGTTTTTCAGTGGAGGTAGAGCGATCTTGCGGACCCATGTCGTCGTGCCATCTGGGCCCACCTGCTGGAAGAGCTCGGAATCGGCGTTCTTGATAATGTCCTCATCAATGGGTATCGGAGAGGTAGGAGGAACGTATTGCTTGATTTGCGGCTCGGTTCGAATCTCACCTTCGAAGATGTTGCTTCCGGAGGGCCCGCTGGGTGTGCCTTGTTCCGGGGTGGCTTCTTCCGAGAGCATCTCGGACACTAGGAAGGATGCGGTCTTTGCGGCGTATGGAGCTACAGGCCTGTCCTTGGCCGCGGCATGGTCTGAAGGGACCTTGTGTCTCTTCTTCGGAGTGTAATTGCAGTCATCCTCCTTCTCTTCTGCGCAATGATTACATACTGGGAGGCTGCGGTCGCACTGGAGATAGTAGATCATGAGCACTATTTCAAGGCGGATTGCGCACATGGGACTTACCTTGAGGTTCTTCAAGCGACAGCGGTCACACCTTGGGATACCTCGATGAGCTGGGGTGGGCAGGGGAGTATACTTGCACTCCCGCCCACTTGCTGACCAGGAGCAGTAATTGCAGACAGGCAATACTCGATCACACTGGGGATGCCATCAGAGATACAATACCTTCAGAGATGATTATCGCCACGAACCTTCAAGTTGTTCAAGCGACAATGATCACAGCGTGGCTTTCCTCTCCGGCCTTTCCACTGTGACTGGCGAGCCATATATACTTTCGGATTGGGGATCCTGATGGTCAGTTGTCCCTCATCGACCGATTCGGCAGCTGACTCGGATGCATCCGGAGTATCGGCCATATGGAAAATAGGGGAGATGATGCGAATTGACAGATCCACCAATATTCAATCTGGATGTGTGCAAAAGTGAACGAGGACGACCGGTGGCCAACAGGGTCGTCGTACTACCAGTCCCGAAGCGGCACGATAAGGCAAAAGCGGCCGGAGAAAACAAGAAGGAGGTCCGTGCCCTGCCTGGAGGACGTTAGGGTGGAAAAATACAGGAAATGTGGCGAAAGGACGTACGAAGAGGGATTGCTGTGGCAGTCGACCGCGTGCGTGTTTAGACGGACAAGAAACCAAATTTGGCGAAACGTGGAACGAACCTACTAAGAAGCGTCACAATAGTCACAGCATCTGTCACGACGGGACGCTGCGGATGATCGCAACAACTCGACCACAATCCACTCATCGCGCGATGCCACACGACGATGAACAAGACGATTGTGTAGTCACTGCGTGAAATGGAGACGACATGCTTGTCGCCCTACCAGTAGTCGTCTCACCGCACCGCAGACATCAATTGATTCTGAAAGCGCGGAGATGTCCGGCGGACCATTCCTAGTTGCCATATACAGCGGCACCCAAAGATAGGAAACCACGTTCCTGCACTCCGAGTCCTCTCAATCACTTTTCTCTTCTTGCCCCTGGCTGGCAATGAGTCTTCGCTTCGGCCGTATGCCACGCATCCTTGTTCTATCTCACCGTGGACAGAACACGGTGCCGCGGCCTGCTCGAATACGACCGTCGTGCGAGCAGAAGCTCGCCGGAAGCATCCGCACGCATGCATTGCTCAATGGCAACGAGGACATTTCAAATCTTTGCTCGTCTTCCACCATATGGCTGAATCATGTTCTATTCTGCCTCGACAGCACGTCCGAATGAGACATGTGCAAAGTCTCACTTCGTCTAAACGCATAGCCCACGCTCGTCAGCAATCTCACCTTCAGCAATGTTCGGCCTGTCTCTGCTTTTGGTGTTGCTGGCGATCGCCAAATCCCTCGAGAAGTGTGCCGTTACATACTATGTTACGTCGGCCGGTCCATGCTCGAGAACGGGCTGGGCGAGCCTTTGAATGTACGTTCCCGTGCTTCTTCCGACGTAACTTTCTCACACAACCAAAATTGTCCAGGTGATCATCTCAAGGCTGAATTCTTTAAATTAGGCTGGTGTTGTGAACGACGTTCGCGCAATCGGTTTGAACGTGGAGTCTAGACGTATATAAACGGTGTCCCAGCGGTGAAAACCATCGCTTATACTCTGCTTAGACTCCGCAGCTCCAAGGTATGATTCGATACTCACCTTCAAGATCATCAATGTGCCAATCTTGGCGATGGCAACGATTGCATGAACCGGACTATTGAGATCTACTAGCGTCACGATAGTGCTACCGCGGAACTTGCCCTGAGAGCCTTAATGGGGCTAATCACTTCAGGTGAGTCCTGATTCCTATATTGCCCACGTCTGCTTTCCCGACCTCAACGTTTCCGTAGACTTGCTGAGCACGAACTATTCCTCTTGCTGATGACAATGTCGATATATCCATTGATTAAGAACGGAAGCCTGGCTGACAGCGGTGCTTTATTCTTGGCGTGATTCGGACAATCATGGTTCTGGATCTATGCCGTATATTACGAAACGTGATACGGCTGTTGTGGCAGTGTCTCGAAAGAAGAGGATGCTGCAGAGGACCATACGAATGGCAAAAGACAGCGGACGGTACGCGGAACGTCCGACTGAACATCTCTCGCTACTCACCTGTGTCTTTATAGAGATGAGCTTGTTGCGGCTGCGGTCAGCGTTGTGAGTTATGCTGGTGCTACGCACAGCTCAGTTGCAGAGAACATCACCGGCTCGGTGACCCTCCGGGAGTGCAGGGGCTGAACCATACAAGGACATGGACCCATCTGCTGCTGTCGCTAATCGGCATTATAGATTCTTCTGTGAACGAAATCGCGCGACTCTGTTGACGGTCACAGTCGAGTGAGCTTTGGATAGCATTGAATGCGTGTCACGGTTTGTGTTACCCGGCTCATTCATCCACTTGACGCTCTCCAAACGGATTCTGTTGACGCTCCGCCGGCTATAGCGCCTCGACCCCATTCACGCCGTGCAATCTGGGCAGTACGTCACGGAGAAAGATGCTCGTCCAGCGTATAGATCCAACCGCGGAGATAGCCGAAGACTATTCCTAGTTGCCGCTTCCAGCGAGACAACAGACGGGGATGGAAGTTCTGTTCCTGCAGCTCGCCCGCTCAATCGTATTCCCAACGTGCTGCCTTTGCGTGCCTGAATGTCATAAAACGTTCGTCTCCACCATATGGCTCTCGATCTATCTGCCGAATCGATACGGTTCTCCCCTCCCCTCCCAGGGTTTTGAACATATCCCCCGTGCGAGCAGAAGCTCATCATGTGCAACCACCCGTGTGATTGCTATGAGGTGACGGTGCTCATGCACCGCATAGCAGAAAACTGGATCAGCACAAATGCAGCAATGAGACACGTTCTGCGTATCCTGCGAACGTGTTGCGAGCAATCCATGTGAGTATGTTCTTCTGTTCAACGTGATATCGGCCGCATTGAGTGCGGGTGCAACGGGCTTCTTCTCTTGCTTGCGTATAAAAATGCCCCAATTCTCCAGCTTCGATGCGTGCGCTCTTCGCTCACACCTGCAGCTATGTTCGGACTGTTCCTTCTTGGCATCGCTAGCTTGTGTGCTCCTGCATTCGCAAATGTGATTCCGAAGGCAGTGGAGAAGCGTGCTGTCGCTTACTACGATCCTTATGATGGCGGCGGCTCCATGTTCGACAATGCCGATGACGGTTATGGAGAACCTCTCAATGTATGTTCTCGATTCGGGCTAGTCAAGCCTTTCTCACTTTGTCCATCTTTCCAGGTGATCGTATCAGGGTTAAGCTCAGCCGAGGTGCTGAACGAGGCTGGAATTCTCAATTACGCCCGCGCAATTGGATTGTACGCCTGCATCATTCACCTCTTACAACGTCTATGGACTGACTGTGGGTACTGCAGCTCAGAGGAGTGTCTTGGCATCCACCTCGGAGATCCTTTCTCTGCGAATCTTGGTGATGGAAACGGCTGGGTGAACCAGACCATCGAAATTCGCGAAGATTACGGTGATCCTTCCCTAGGCACTTGCCTTGAGAGTCTCATTGGAGGCAACCACTTTCGGTGCGTTCTCACCTCGAGCACCCATGAGCAGAGTTGTATTGTCCCGGTCATGCTCTACACCTACTGAGCACTTTGTATGACAGTGTGTTCATCCAAAATGGAACGGAGGCCGATAGCGGTGCTCTATTTTTAGCGTGAGTACAGTCGATACAGCCCGTGGTCGGCGTCATCTCATCCTAACCGACACGGAATTATGGCAGCGTCTCGACTGAAGAAGATGCCTCCGAAGACCACACTATTGCACCAAACGGATACGATGCAGGACGGTGCGTGAGATAGCCTCACTTCCTCTTCTTGCTGCTGATTTGCGACACGAACGATGCAGGGACGCGCTGGTTGCTGGAGCTATCGGTACCACTAGTTATGGTGGTGTAACGTACAGTACCGTCGCCGAGAACATCACTGGCCTAATGCCAGCCGGTACCACAGGTGTTAATCATGGTAATGAACTCCGCTCACATGAAAGTCTTATAATCGAGTTGATTAACATATCACAGATATTTATGTTGATGGAATTGTCACCCTCCTCACGGTTACGGTTGAATGAGCTCGCATTATTATTTTAATGCGACCCTCCAGGCGTTCATATTGGTATACCCCTATTGCCCATCGACATGTTGACTGTCATGAATGCTATCGCGTTCGTTGTGCGTACATGAATCCATCTGTACCGTTTCTTTTCCATGACATACCACGTATGTCAAGGGATTTAATGTCACGCAAGTTGTGCAACGCATGCGACTCGGCTGTGTGCTGTACTTTGCTTCGAGAAGTCAGCGAACGTGCGTTCGTTAGACGCGTTCCCATGGTGCTGAACTTCTTTAAATAGTGCATGCGAGTCGTCTGACGGTTTCTACTGCCGAATACAGTCATCTGCGTGTTTCTTCTAGGCTTCCTCTTCTACCTGCTACAAGTACTCATAACGTAGCGTAGGTACGTCGCGCTCTCTGTCCGCGCTGTGTTGTGAGCTAAAACACCATCGACGATGTTGGGCTTGCTCATCCTTAGCATTATCTCACGGCTCTCACCCGTTCTTGGAAGCCTAATCATAAATACGGAACTTCAGCCTCAGGTCCCGTTCTATGACCCTTACTATGCAGGGGGCTCAATGTTCGACAATGTCGGGAACGGTCTTGGTGAACCCCTTAACGTACGTTCACACTCTGCTTCAATAAAGCGAAGTCTAGTCACCAAACATTGTCCCAGGTGATCATCTCAGGGCTTAGCTCACCCGAGGTCCTTAGCGAGGCAGGCATCATAAACTACGCTCGTGCAATCGGATTGTACGTATCAACTTCTGCACCAGCTAGCATGACTTACCGCTGTAACGAGTATGCAGTTCAGAAGAGTGCATGGATATCCATCTCGGCTCGCCTTTTTCTGCCAACCTTGGCGATGGCAACGGCTGGGTGAACCAGACTATCGAGCTCCGCCAAGACTATGGTGATGTCGAAATCGGGACGTGTCTGGAAAGTCTTATCGGCGGTAACCACTTCAGGTGAGCATCCGATTGGAGAGCGGTTCCTCGTTGCACGGCCTTGTTATAGAAGGAGCTATCATCCTGTGGCTTCTTATCGTTGCTGAATGAATGGATTGTTCTACTACAGGGTATACATTCAGAATGGGACAGATGCTGACAGTGGGGCTCTCTTCCTTGCGTGAGTGACGGTATGGCAATGTATCTTGGTCTGTGACTAACTGGCCGTTTTAGAGTCTCAAAGGAGGAGGATGTTGAAGAGGACCACACTATCATTCCAGATGGATACAATATCGGACGGTATGCGAATTCATACAGTGTTCTCCCAAAGCCAAGATGTTGACCAGAATATTGTCTCATCGTGTGCAGTGATCAACTTGTTACCGCCGCTATCGGCAAAAGCGAATTCGACGGCGTGCATTATTTCACCGTTGCCCACAACATAACGGGGCTTATGCCTGCCGGTAGCAAAGGAGTGAATCATGGTGATTACCTTTTTGTCTCAGACATTTTCTCGGGAGAAGTTCACGGCTGGCTGTACGATCGCAGGCATCGCTGTCGATGGGATTGTGACCCTTCTGACGGTGACCGTTCACCACAAACAAGTTTAGATTGATCGCATGGTGGCGTTCCTCTGTACTCTTCGCAATTTTAGCCCGTCATAAGTCATGTTCACGCCTGCAGTATGTACTGGATGTGCGGCCTTCTTCTATACCCTTATGACTTAACGAAGTGCGACGCAAATCGACCCATTGACACGCTGGCATCTTTGCCATTGTATTTAACCAATCTACGTTTAATAGAACATGCAAATATTGGAACAGAGACTGATTTGACGATGTGGTTGTATGCAATGTTGCGTATGTCCTGCTATTCCTAAAAACAACGAGATGAATGTTTGATTGGCTTTACCGTGGGGTAGAGTCGAGGGTGATTGAATAAAGGAAGATATTGCAGGAGGCGAACCAACTTCTTGCGGGACTGTCCGTATGAACTGCAGATATACGTCCGCTTCACTCCTCGTCGTCATCGTCCCATTCATCCCATTGAATATCATGCTCGTCAGCTGCGTCGTGCGACGGAGAAGCTGCCTCCTCCTCTTGCTCCTCCTCGCCGGCGAATCTCTTGGCCCATCCCTCCTTCTCGGTTGCAACCTCCTCTCGAGTGCGACGTCCCACTCGAGCGAGGACGAAGTCCAACGCGGCAAAGTTCGCGTCGTCAAGGGCGAACTTACGGTGCCTCCGACCCTCAATATGCTAGGATAACAAACATACAACGTCAGCACCCGAGAAACGATTAGTATTGCGAAACCTCACTATTTTGAAGTCGTTAAACTTGACTCGACAACTTTCACAATATCCAGGCTTCGTCCCCTCGTCTCTTTTGGGAAGTCTCAGTGTGTTGGTACTACGGCTCTTTTTGAGCATATTCCGCCTGTCGGGAATAGTAGGAGGCGGCCCCATCTTGTTCTCCGTTTCATCGAGCACAGCCGCGGCCTTACGGAACGTCACTACCTGTTGTTGCGCCCTGCCCTTGAGTGAGTCAGGCAGCTGGAAACACTGCAAGGAGTTCCCAATGGTGGATGTGGTGCCTGTCGTGGACGTGACGCCAACGCTGTTGCCAGATGCAGCCATGTATGCACCGGATGCAAGGTATCCGGAGGCATTCACGGAGTTCAGTTCAGCACCGTCTGCATCAAGGTCAATCAGCCCTTCCAATTCAGGGTCTCCATATGACAGCCTGCGACGCAAGTTATTCAGAGACATTGATCGTCGTAGATCGTGCTGCTTGGTCTGTGCTCGTATTTGGGAATCTCGAATGCGCTCCTCTTGCAGTTTCGCCTTTCTCTGCGCGCGATCATTCGTCCTTTCCATATCCTGTCGATCTGCCTTCTCTCGCCTGCGTTCCTCGTCTTCGTCGTATGGCAAGAACGGTCCTCTCGACTTAGGGTGACAGTACAACACTGGCCATGTAGGATGCTCCGTCCCGTCACGATCCTTCTTCGGCATGTATTCCATGATAGCAATGGGTGCCAGCTCCTGTCGCATGTCCTCTACGAGCACAAAGTAGCTCCCTTTCGGGAAATATTTGTAGTCCTTTCGTTTCAGGCTCGGATCTCGCTCCGTTGTCCCATTTATACGCTCATTTTCAAGCAGACGTGTCAAAGAACGATTCTTCGTCTGTGGCGCGATGGAGCGACTAGATTCTGCGGCTGCAATGGGAGCGACAGCAGCTTGACACCTATCGAGGACACTGTCGAGCTTCGATACACTCCAGACTTTGATATCGAGAGCCAAGGCTTTCTTCATAAGCTCGCGGGAGGCTGCGCCAGTGGCATCGTTGGCAGGCCTTCCCCCCACGTGAGTAAGGCTCCAGACAACCAAAAGTCGACAGTCTTACTTACCTTTCCTTGAGCTTGATGAGACTATCGAATGCATTATCTTCTAGTATATCATTCCTCGTGACGTTCTCCTTGTCATGATCTTCACCCTGCAAGGTGATGAGATGTGTAATGTCTCTGGAGAAGAAATCCTCGACCCGCTGCAGGACATGGACATAATATATGATATACTTCAGATCACGCCTTTACAGACTGCTTAGTGAACGATGCTTACCGCTCCCAGATGCACCACCTTTTTCTCGAGGTCCTTCATCAGGGCTGCCACTTCCGGGTCGGCGCCGTCCAAGTCGAAGTAGAACACGAATCTCGGGAAAGCGCGTCTGTACTTTACCCTAAACTCCTGTTCACGTTCTGCACGTCTCCTCTCCTTCTGCCTCCTTGCCTCTTCGCAAGTGAGGGTGGGCATCACGGGCTCAGCAGCTACGGGTTTGAACCGCTTCACGCCGTGTGCTGCACTCTCGTCCTTCGTCGGCTCAGGTGAACGCGGGCGTTTGACTGTGATATGCTTTCGTGCTACTGTCTGGTATGGAGAGAGGAGGACAGATTGATGCTGTGGATATGGCCGCGTGGCCAACGGTGTGCGTGCGATAGTAGCCATCGGTGAGAGCAATGCAGCTAATCAACGTTCAATACTCTCGAGGCAGCTCGACGAGGCTTGTGGTGACTATGCAAGAAAGAGGCAGGGCGGGGTGCTGGATGAAACGAGCGCACTGCTGGCAAGGACAACAGTGGAGAGAACCAAGTTGTACTACCCGCATCCACGGTTTACGTTCGTCAACGACCAAACAAACAACGCGCGACGCGTCGCGTGACGTGACGTAATATGTGACCATACGCGACAAACCCGCTTACCTTCAGCCACCTACGCTCACGCTCCCTCGTTCGCTCAAATCCCTCCGCAACAATGGACGCATGCTTGCCTGACTTGGACCTCATACATTGTTTCAACATGGACAGTCTCCCGGACATTCTACCAGGGTTCTTCGTACCCCGGCTGCAGAACAGGCCCCAGGATCCCATCATGGATACGATGCGCCTTGAAAGAGAGATCCGCAAGAAACTTACTGCTATACATCCAGATCATCCTGAACGGCAACATTTGCTCGAGCATCCTCTTACATCCACCGGCTTTCTCACCCAGCCGAAGGAGAAGCCTTGGGACCCAGAGCGATTGACTACTCGCAGTAACAAAAATAGCGGCAAGGTAACTTGAAATGAACATATGCAGGTGGATATATGTCTCGTTAAATCACACTCTCTTCAGAACAATTTAGTTTCATGGGATTCCGTTCGAAATTTGCCTTACTCCCGCACAAAGCCGTCCCCACTCTGGTCAGAGCTAGAGGACCGGTCATTGGCGTCAATACGTTATCAGTGAGTCACCTTCATTTACGATCATACTCGTTCTGAGTTCCTACGAAAGCGTACGTCCGCCCCTGAGGGACCCATATTCACCATCAATATACGTGACATGCAGAGAATTACTTCTATCATTGAGACTCGTGCTCACTGGGGTTTCTTCTCCGCTATACGTATGGGACATTTATTGGGAGAAGTTTCTTCCAAAATACGCTTCAGACGAATTGGATGCCAGTGTGATAATTGCAGGAACGGACGAGGTCGTGAGCTCTAGGTCTGTACACATATCTAGATCAATTGAATATACATCTGATTTATCTTTCAGTGTCGTCGGACGTTTTCTTAGAATTGGAGCCGCTCTGCGTCGCTTGGAACTTCTGGTTGATTCTCAGCTACCCTCGTATGTGTGGATCCTCTGATACATAGCTCATCTCAATTCATCGTGGTAGACGAGGACGCCCTCAACAAGCCCAACACTCCTTTGTACATGCAGTGTCATGCGTATTGGACTGCTTACGACAAATGCTCGCGACATCTCTCGCGTTCGGTGAAGATGCCGGCCACCAATTAGAGCATGACGCTCTGGCAGCTCTGTGGATGACCTACGAAGACACTGAGAAGCTGCTCAATGCTTTGTGTTCTCTCTGCGGAAGGGCGAGTCAACTACTTTTTCATGCCTAGTTCACTTGAACTAATGGTTGAGCTCCAGAGCGAACATTCCATTCCCGTTGCTTACACCCCGCTTCCAGTAACGATCGCAGCGATACTGTCGCAAATTTACAACTCAGTTAATAGTCATCTGGAGATGCGATCTGCCAGAATCATTACAGCGGCGTTTTCATATATCCTGACGGTGACCTCGCAAGACTACTTCCGACAAGTCTGCCAGTCTGTTGGATATAGAGCGAATGACAGCGAGTTCTCCGGTGACATGACATGCCTGCCATGTCCCAATGATGCGCAGAAATCGGATGGCCTTGACGAGGAATTTCTGTACAATGAAGATGATGAGACGTTGAATCAGGAGAAGTTTAATATGCAAGCACATCCGGTCTTCGTGCATTCATATGCGGACGTCCTCCAAAGAGCGCAACAGTCGTTGAGACTGTTGCGTCAAGCACAGCCAGATCATCCGCTTCTCACTGATCAACAACACAATCAAGTCATCTGTTGGAAATGGACACACAAAGACGTCACTGCTGCATGGAATAAAGATTTTGATCCCTTCGAGGACGCGCAACAAGCTTCAGAGCAGCCAGACAGAAGTGGCGACGCGTTCCGGCAGGGGAATGCCTACAAGACTGGGTTGGAGGGATTTTCTATTTTTGATCTCCCACCTGGGTCGTGTCTTGCACGCGCCAGTGCGCCTGGCTGGAGAACTCACAACTCAGCTCTCTCAGAACTGCAAGCTTTCCTCGAGGACTACCCATCCACTCTGCCGCCGATCACGCCTACTCTCGGACATCTGACCGAGCTCGTGTTGTCGCCACTCGTGAGACATATGAACCGACTATCGGGAGCTCTGGTCGCTATATTTCTAACACCGGATACATATCTGAACTTGCAACTTCATCTAACTCTTCTCCGTTCTTATCTTCTCTTGACGTCACATTCATTCAGATCAAGGCTAGAGAATGCGCTGTTCTCCGATTCTGACGAGCCAGCATCTTCACTCACTCGTCTGAGACGGTCTATCGGCACGATTAACCAGTCATCTTCGCAAACGTCCGATGATACTCCCGCGGCTCAGTGGGCTGTTGGCCTCTCATCGCAGCTGACAGAAGGCGACTCGTGGCCACCAAGGGGCGCTGATCTGAGCTACCACCTGCGTACCGTGATTGTTGACGCTCTACAGGAGAATCTACAGGACGAACGTCGTCGAGTTCAACCTTCAACGACTTACGAGAGATTGTTGCAAGAAGCTGAATACCGCCTTGGGTTCGTTCTACGTGATCTGTCGGCAGGAACGGGCAAAGAGCGATGGCTCGATCCTACATGTACGTGATTCTGTGGTGTGTTGTTGCTTGTGGGACTGATTTTCCTCCGCCGCTAGCTATAGAGTGAGTCGCACATTGTACGAATGCTAGTGGTTTGGGGTGTCTGACAAGCATATAGAGCGATGGACTTCTTGTATCTGGATTATCTCCCGCCAGAACCGCTCGATATCATAATAACACCGACTATACTTTCCAAGTACTATCGAATACTGGCATTCAACCTGCGGCTGATGCGAGGTACTCCCGTTGTGCTGGGATTATTAGATACTATATTGACCCTCGTCTATGCAGCCTCAAATGTCATGGCGGCCTTCTACCGTATGACACGCAAGGCTTCGTGCCCGCTATTTCCGACATTGACACAGTCGAACAAACTACTCCTCCACTTCCGTTTCGTTGCGCACTCATTCGTCACCTCCCTAACATCGTACGTGTACGACTCGGCAATTGGGGGTAACTTCGATGCCTTCCTCCTACAGTTGGGGCCGCCAGATGAGAAGCCAAGCACCAAGAGGCCTGCCGGCGGTTTCACCGACTTCGCGTCTCTGGCAGATCGTCACTCCAAGGTGCTGGATGATATTCTCAGTGCTTGTCTCTTACGCTCGGGCCAGAAGGCGGTTGGCGAGCTGCTTCGCGGGTGCCTTGCACTTGTGCTGGAACTGGGCATTCTCGCTGGCCTTCGTCACAAGAAGCAGATGCCAGAATATGAAGCTGCAACAAGGCTAGAGGACCTGTGGAATGAATTCAGGAAAAACATGATGACTTTGGTCGGTGATGGATTTACCGATGTTTTGCGCATGCTGACATGTGGCTTGCATAGATCAAGGTATTGAGGGCATTGATCGAGAGGAACCTGGCAGTGCATGGGTCTCTCGATGGTCATACGCCTCTGCTCACGAGTGTGGAGGGTGTGGCCGGTAACCTGCATGATCTGCTAATTCGCCTGGACACAGCGCAATGGTGGACGAGGAAGTACGATCTTACATCAATACGATGAAGAGCCGGCACCCTTCATTCTTGCAGGATTCTATGTGATGGATATATTGTGTAGTCACATTACAAAGGCAAAAAGGCAAAGATGTACATCATCAACGAAACGTAACAAGCACTCAGTCCCATGTCCCGAACGTACAAAGGCAATCGTGATGGAGCAAGAAAGCAACTGATATAATGGAATGTAAAGCGGTTACAACGTCGACCGCGGCAAATGGTGAATGCATGAAGTATTGGCTTGGAGACTCAAGCATGCGTCGCGTCATCGAATACATCATTACAAACAGGCGCGTTCGCTTTGACCTCCCTTGCGATCCGAGCGCATTCTTGTTCCCATATGGCGCGTATCTCCTCTTCACGCACGTCTGAGGTCTCGCTCTGGCTGTCTGCGATACCCAGGCAACGGGAGATCTCTTCGACACGTACTCCTTCCGTGAGACGGACCTCTTGGCAGCCCTTGGCACCAGTCATGTTGAACGACGTTGTACGGCCGATTCTCCTGCGAGACTTCGATGGAGAACCGAGCAGGCTAACGCTACCAGAGGACAAAGTGACAAGCCCGGCGGTCTCAAGCATGCCGAGTAAGTCGGCGAACTCACTACGGGAGACAGGAGGGAGGGGCGAACGGTCACCTGTCAGAATGGAAGAATAGTACGAGTGAAGCTGCATGACATCCAGAGACGGCGCAGTCGAGATCGTGGGCACAGACTGCGTCCGCTTAATGGGCGATCGAGCAGACTTCGTTGGTGAAGCGGCAGGATGAGAACTAGACAGAGCGAGCCCGGCTTCCACGCGCTTACGAGCTGATAGCAGCGCCAGCAAGGCGAGGCGCTGTTGCAAGCCGAGCTCTCTGACTTTTATGATCGTCTCACTGTCACTGAGTGTCTTCGTAGTGCCTTGAGATGCGGAAGGCGACGATGAAGAGGAAGCAGATTTGGCTTGCGCGCTGACAGAGAGGTAAGCCTTCAGAGCGGTGAGTATGCATGACGGGGTGACACTGGGCATGTGAGACATCAGTGAATCAGGAGACGTCGGAGTCGCCGCTAGATCAATTGCGCCCCGCAGCACCTCGAACATGGCACGAACGTCCCCGGTCTGCGCGGCAATCTTTCGGCTCAGCAAAGTCACTGCCAATGCAGGCAGGAACTCCTTGAACCGCTCCGCAATATCGTCATCGTTTGACAGTGACGAAAGACGGGAATTAACGATATCCACCAAGTCTTGGGGGCAGTACGGTGCGAAGTGCAACGTTTCGACCCCCGCGAGAGATTTGACAGAGGATGAGGCAGTGGAGGAAGATGTGAGTGTATGGGTATTTGCGATCCCAATGAGTCGGACTTTTGAAACGTTGCTGTGGGCGAGCATGAAGAGAGAGTTGAGAGATTGAGCGGTCGAAGTAATATGATCAAGCTCGTCAAGAATAATAATGCTGCATTGATATTGATCGAGCTCGTGAGTCATCGCTCTAGAGCATGACACTTCAACATACCATTTTTGTTCCCGCTCGGCGAAGAAACGCTCGACGAGCTCAATTGGAGTCTCCTTTGGTTTTTTGCTTTTGCGGCCCACGCTGACTACCTTTTCCCTAATATTGAGTATCTCAGCGAGGCGATCCCATACGGCATCGACGCCGTGGAGAGCCATACAGTTGATAAAAAAGACTTGCACCCCTCCCTGCTTGACTTCGGTGGCGAGGCTTTCTAGGACCGCGTTTACAAGCGCGGTCTTTCCCGTTCCCGGCAAGCCTGAGATGTATAGAGTCGAAGCAGACACAGAGTCCGCCGTTTGCGAGATCAGAGACATTATGAAGTCACGCATTGTTTCACGCTCCACTTGCCGTCCAGCGAACTCTGTACGGTCATTGCAAGTGGATCGAAGTAGTGCCTGTGCGCGCATGTGCAGAGGCCGGAGAATTTGGGGCGGGGAGGAAGGCGGGGTTGCCAAGGCGTGTTGAGACAAGGGGTTGACGGGAGTCTGCGGTGCGGATAGGGTATTCGATGCCGAAGAGCGTCTGCGTGGCGCTACAAGACCTTCAGAAGAATGGCGCGTTTTCGATCACAAGGCACTTACGAGTGTTTTCTCTGAAAGAATTTGCTGTTTCGCTATTTGTCCGACGAAAAGGACGCGTCATTCGGACGGAGGGGGAGTTGATATACTCTACGACGAACGGCGGCACGTTCTCTTTATTTCCGTCGTCATCAAACTGGGTAAACGATGTGCGAGGACGCTTCGGATCTGGGGTTGGGTCTGGTGAAGGAAGCACAGTGTTGCCTGACCCGCATCCTACGTCAATCGATGTCGTCGGCTCTGTGGTAGCTTGGTGAGCGCGCTTGCCGAGGACGGTGCTACGCGTGCGTGGCGAAGACATTATGGCGAAACGGGCGTGACTTCGTTGAACTAATTGAGGGAAGAGATATGTGCAGCACTTGATGTACACCGCAGACGACCAGGGTGGGAAGAGGAAAGGAAAGAGGAGGGATGATAGGCCAGACAATCTTTGTCACGGCGGAGTTGGCACGCTTTCAAAGTCCGGTCGGTCAACGCGTCGCGTCGCCGCGTATTTTCACGTGATGTGTGTATCGTGACACGTCACATCACGTGGTTGTGACTTACTTTGGTGCCGTGTCACCATGCGTGCACGTTCCTGGCGGACTGCGACGATGAAACCTGATGCATGAGGCTGCGCAACTGCCTAAAAATAATGTTTCTTCATGTTTTCTCATGGCTCTGCTCGGGATGAGGATGCCGACCGCCTGCTATTTATAATATTTGCAGTGCCAGCAAGACGGTACTCGAGGTAACCAGCCTTTCCCAGCATTTGTAACCTATCCACTCCCACCCTGCGCACGGCGCGACAGCTGCTGCCCCGGTGTGCTCGTCATGCAGCTCCTGTCGCTCCTTGTCCTGTTGTTTTCACCCTCGCTCGTCAGGGCTATCAAATTCGAATGCAGCTCGGGGCTCAGCAAAGGCGCCTTTGCTGCTATTGTCGCCGAGAGTGGTCCGTTCCATCCGCGATAACGGTCGCGCACTCGCTAACATGCTATCTGGACAGTTGTTATCGCTTTTCTGGCCTTCCTGTTGTGCATAGCACTTGCTATGAATCGAGTGCATGCCCGTTACCATGTGTACGATAGCACGCAAAAGCAGGCTTCCCAGGCTGCGCCCACAGCGGAGACGACGGCTCTGAGACGGCAGTCGAGCTATACCACTACCGTTGTCGATAGTGTCAACGTTGCCGACATGGATCCGGAGAAAGAGCTTCCCTTCATACCAGTTTCACTTCGCCCTCGTTCGGTGTCCTTTGCCCGTCCACCCAGTGTCCGTTCCTCTACCCTGTACGCTTTCTCACCTACCCAGGAGCGTGCCGGCTCAAGTTCCATCCATGGTCGTCGCACACTCATGTCCGATAGCAAGACGAAAATCAATGCGCATGCTGCTTCGGCTTCGTCGACGACCCTGCCTAATCCCCATAGCAGTCATGGACACGGTGGCGAGGATGACGAGTCTATGAATGAAGTCTCCCTCAACGCTCCGCTTCTTCATACCTCTCAACAAGACCTTGCCGCCGACGATTCCGACCCGGTCAAAAATGCTTCTGACACGTCTTTTGCGACGCCGACTGGTGCCACTTTCCCCAATCAGTCCGTTCCGCCGCCGGCGTCTGTTACACATTCTGATTCATCATTGGTGGATGACGCCATTATTTCTCTTGAACGAGGACCCACGCCCATGTCTCGCTCATCAACATATTCCAGCCAAGGTCGTCACGACAATCTACACGACCTCCTGATGAGCCGACAAGGAATCCCCGGGACCTCTCCGATTGGGACTTAGTATTCGTCATCAAACTGATTGCGTTCGGATGCGTCTCGTGGATGGCTCACTCTCGGCTGCCGCTGAGAGCAGCTCAATGGACTTTGATACTTACGGGACTTTTTTACACTCACACTCGTTAGCATCCTCTCAGGTCCCGGCATCATTCATGGGACTCTATGTAGCATTCATCGCATATTATGCTCTGGATCACTTATTCGTACATAACATCTGTCATCTCGGATACCATAATTACAGGCAGCTAAAGAGTTTCGTAACTGTTGGCACTATGTTTGGCTGCTAGAATGTGTAGTGTAGACATGACTGTCACGGCTGCGGATGGGTTCGCAGTCAGTCCTAGATGATTTCTATGCCGTAGGGACAGCCGACTTTGTCACGGCATTGCTCTGCGCAGCATTGCGTGGTTCGGATGACGTCTGTCATTTCGAGAGCTTGCTGACGGCACCGGAGACCTTGTCCGCCAGGTAACGGATGAAAGGTGAGTCCATCGTGGTTTGCACCGGAACACTTGAGCTCAAAATGGCATCCGAACTCGCTAGAGGAAGGCTGTCGTCATGCAAAGGGTGAATCGGAGGACAAACGACATTGTAGAGGATCTCGATTTCCGCTTTGCGACGATTGTGAAGCATGTATTGCAGTTCCTTCCTAACATTGGTTCCGAACAATCACAGCGCTCATCGTTTGTCAGCTTCTCGCGGCGTGGGTGCAATTAGAAGACCCACCGCCACTTCTTGGGAAGATTAGTACGCCGCAGCATTGCTTGTGCCTTTGAGCGCAGTCAGGGTAATCGTGCAACATTTGGAACGACGAATAGCATTCACCTTCTTCTCATCGTGTTTTATGATGGGTATCAGAGCTTCTTTTGCAACTCCCAGTCTCGATAAGTGCCGCTTATAAGTCATGAAGTGGACTGCGTAAAAGACCGCTTACCCTGCCAATTCGCTGGTCCGAATTCCCAGCCATTTGACCCTGCCTGCGGCGAGATGTTCGCTCTCGTGCTGCATTACTGCGCTACCGTATCTATAGACCGACAATATGTCCAGTCCGTAAGCGTCTCCGTCGACAAGCGCGAGCAAAGGAACGCTAGAGCGAGCTTCGGTGAGCATGTCTCATCACTGTCATTAAGAGACGTACCAGTCTGGCAGGTTATCTGAGAGTGTCTTGACGAGCTGTCTGGTTGCGACATCAGGATAGCCTTTGCCCTAGTCACTTTCAACACTGCGTCATTGAGTGACTAGATGACTCTTCGCACCGTGATGATTATACCATGTCCAGGCATAGATGGATGGCTTGCCAGTTGATATCGACAGAGTGTCTGAAATACTGCCTATCGCACAATATACAAGACGTCGCCAAAGCTGTGAGAGTTAAAGTACCTCTTTTTCGACGATTAGCACCCAGCTCAGATCATCATCAACTTCGAAGCGAGCGATATCCTCGCTGACTGGAATAAGTGCTCCCTGTTCTCGACAGCATCAATTCAGTTGTAATATTGTGAGCCACGTATGGCATACCTCGGCAGTGTGCACTTCTATACAGTTTCCATCTTGGAGATGCATCACCAGGCCATATCCGGAGACTAGTCCTTTCGAGGAGGCGCGCTGCCGACCGGTGAAAAGGGACCACAATGCGTAACTACCATAGAACGTACGACGTGCAAATCAGCCCGACCTAATTCGAAGGTTGCTGCAAGATCGTCCACTACCTGGGAAGGGTGCGTGGGTTGAGAATAAAAAATATACGACACTAGGGACAAACCCGATCTACAACCGACTGAGATTTGAACAATTGAACATCTTTATAGTACATATCACTGCATATATGCGTGATCAGCATCAAATGGAACTTGATACAACATCTCAACGTACCGCTTCGTTGTAGGCACGTCTTCGTGGAGAGCCTCATGCATGAGGTCAGCGACTCTCAATAGTTGCGCTTTGTTGCCGTTTTGGTATAATATATGCGCATTTCATTACTGTAGCTTACCAAAAGGCTTGATACTGCCTCCTTGACGTCTCTGAGGATATTTCATCGTGCGCGTAGCATAGAAGCTAATCCTCCTTGTCAATCACAGGGATTACAGATCGCGATTGAATACCCACCCGTTCGTCGAAGATTTCCTGCGATCAGCAAGTTTCAAGACGACCTTCTTCTCTTTCTTCTTCTCAACGGAATCGGGGGATTGCGAGATACAATCCGACAATTGAGACATGAGAGACAGGATCAGGTTTTCAATACGATCAACAGCATTGAGCCTGTAGTAATGAGTGCAGTCCGGGAATCTAAATAGACATGAACGTACCGTGCATCGGGGTACTCTTCGTCTTCGAGCTCGCAATTATCCATGTCTTGCTGATGTGCATTGTCGAGTTCTTCGTTATCCGAAAGGACGGCAAGCATACCATCGGAATAAGATTCTTCTAGATCAAATTTCCATAGAATGTCTGGTTCGTCGCTATCGCCGTCGTCAGAAAGAGTCGGAGCAATTGCATCGACAGGATCACTGGCAAGGTCATCTATCATATCCATTGTGCACAGCCTGTCGATGTTGGAGAGATGCAGCAAAGTGCCAAACCTGCTGTCTTCCGCGACTGCTTATACAAGATGGTGGTGGTGGTAGCATACAGTGCGGTGGCAGCCACTACATGTGCGATTCGATCGACGCGGTCCCGTGACACGTTACTCGAGACGTGTTCGCGACATTCCGATGAATAAGTTATAGGCCGTAAATCTTTTGATTCCTGCGCACGACTCTTCACCTGTTCTTATATAATTTGGGGCATGCGGCGTGCGCGTGAGTACTCTACCAAGCGCACAAACGCATTTGAATCGGTGCGCACACATAGTATCCGCACCGTCTGGGTCTAAAACTCCAGTTAATCGAGGCCGACATGGCGGTTCTTGTCTTTTCAGCAAATTTAGTCACAATGGGTATAACAGCATCTTTTCTCGCGCCTGAGGAGAAAAGCTCTCTCCTCACATTTCAAGTTCCCCCCCATCTGATCTCTTATGTTTACCTTACTTCATTGCGCGGTAAAGATGGACTCAGCGGGGGCAGGAGGAGCCTGAGGGCTCTTGAGGGAGAGTAGAGTCTCTCGCCGCTCGAGGTCGACCTTTGTGCTGGCCTCTTCGTGCCGTGGGGACAAGTACAATGGCACAAGGAAACTAAGACGCATAAGATGTTGTAAGAGTTGGTCATGACATCTGCAGCAAGGTATACATGTTCCAACTTCGAGCTGATGTCATAATGAGAGAATATATGTATAAGTTTGTGTCATGGCGTGTGGGGAAAACTTCAGAGGTAGTATAGGCGATGCTCATCTTATAAAGATTGCTCACGAATGCTGTTCGCGTACTTATTCCAAACTATGCACCGATGTAGATCTTTATATATTTATAGACCGTTCTAGCGCTGTCAGTGCACAGAATAAATTTTCATAATCCCCGGCTGCGACCAAGTTCTGCTCATACCGGGCAATCCATAACACGAATCTGCAACGTCGGTGTGTTCGCAAGTGCTTCGGATCCAGAAATATTGCGACCGAGGACGTGGACTCGATCAGGCTATGTAGATCAGATCGGGTTGATGGCGCATCAAAATGGCAACACGAGAACTCAAGATAGACAAAACACCGGAAGCAAATAATAAGACAGGCAGACGAGACAGCACAGCAGAGACACAGCAGCAACGGCAGCAGGCACAAGCAAGTAAGGGACAAAAAGAACTCCCAATTAACCCCAGTTTTGGACCTCCAACTCGAACCAATCTGGAAGTCGCCTCCAGAATTCCTCGCGTAGCGCACTGACCATAGCACCGTACTCCAGCCTACACACCTCGCACGCCCTGTACACAGCCTTGTTCTCTATGCCCGGGAGGTCCCCTCTCGTCTGCATGAGGACGGTCTCCAGCATCGCAAACAGTGGGTCCGAGTTGCGGTTGCACACCACGCCGTTGATGTCGCGGATGAGCTCAAAATTGACGGCCTCGAAGGCGACTTGACATGCACGCTGCGTAGACTGACAGGTTTCGCGCCTGCGGAGGCAGTCGTCCGACGGATCCCTTCCTTCGAGTTCGTTGACGATAAACGTTGAGAAGAAGCGCGCCGCTTGCTCCTTGCCTCTGAGCACGCGAAGTAGGTCGTCCATGTCCAGCTGGTGATGCAGATCGTCCACGATGCCGATGCAACCGAATGTAATCTGGCTTGGCATGTAGCGCGAGAGGTCGTAGAATGCCGAAGGTAAGAGCTCTGGAACGTTGGTTTCACGGGCCAACGTGACGATTGAACTACGTCTGGTCAGCACCCGCTTCACGAAGATGTCAAGTGACGCACATTGGATGAGGCATTGCCGGTCGACGCGCATAGATTCCGTTCAGGTTGGTCGCCTTTTTCTCGCGAGCTTCCCACAGAGCCAAAGTCGTAGGCCACGATAATGTCAAGACGCGGATGACTTCCTTCCGGAGTTCTGCTACTGCGTACTTTGTTGATATACGAAGCAACGCCGACGTGATGGAGAAGTCTTTGCCCTCGAGCTTGGGGAAGAATCTGTGGCCCCGTTGGCAGACTGATCGCAGAGACGCTATTACAAGTCAACGAGATCCCTCACCCATAGAGTGCCTGCAGAAAATAGCCCACGTCTTCCGGAGCATCTTGCAGTGTGAGGACAGGACAGCCCTCGATCATCTTGCCACCAAAAGAGCCTTTACACCCGAGTTGCTTCCTGAGGGCCGGGGAATGGCGGCAGAGCACTCCCTGATGGACGAGGAAGTACTGGCGGCCCGCGACGATGGCAACGTTCGCATCCTCGAACGACAGCTCCGGGTGGCGAACGGGCACCTCGTACTCTTGCAGGTCGGCCGCATGCCTGTTCGAGCTGAAGTCCGAGTTGAGCGTCATTGAGGGGGCGGAGTGGGAGCGCGGACACGCGAAATCAGGGTGTTGGCGTGCAGAGAGCTGTGCTGGTAGGCGACGAAGGCTGACATTGGGCAACTGGATTGGTATGCAGACCAGCAGCCTTTGCTGACAAGATGTCGGGCTTTCTACCTTGCTCTGGTACAAGCCGCGCGCCATCTGCACGTTCAATTAACTGAAGGAATGAGTTCATCGTTATATAACGATGCATATCCAGCATGCTTGCCCATTTTGAAGAGCACCTTTGCACCTGTCAATGAACAGTCAAGCTAGCCGAAAATGCAGTATACTGTTCACAGCCGAGCCTTGATACCTCTAGCTGAGGTGCAATCCAAGTTGCCCTTGGATTATAAACATTACATGGTGTCAAATTGTCTGTCCAAGTAAGCACAGAAATCAGTGGAAAGCCTTCTAGCTACGTTCGCCGGTGACGTGCAAGGCCTCGTTATGCTAGCGCAGAAATCCAAGGCGCCGAGTGTATAGAAGTAAAGCAAGCACATTGTATCCGACGATATGAGCTCGAACTCCTGACAGTGTCTGTGGTGGATTGCCATCAACGAGGAAGGGAGCATGCGTGAGAAACTGTATACGCGCTGCTGAAGGCTTCGATTTTTGGTTTGGCAAGGACCCGGGCAACTCCTATATAGGAGTGTCGCAAAATAGCATATTTGAGGGGCCCCAAATCGCGATTTCCTTGTCGCGGATTGCATATTTCAGACCTCGGAGGCCCCAAAAGGCTCCAAAAAGACCCTTATCCTTATCGCAACTTAGCATATTTCGGGACCTGATGGGTGTCGGAGAGCCTCCCGATTTAGGCATGTCCAGGTGGCTAACCACTGGTATTGATCGACAAGGCCCATTGATGCGACAAGGCCACCATGTAGCCATATATTGACATAAAATAAATAATTTTCTGACCCGATAACCATCATGGTACATGCGCGATTTGTGACATCCAAGCCTAATTTCCTGCTATGACTTGTGTAGCTCTCCTTCCCCTGAGTCTCACTTGAATCTCATGAAGCTGTAAGATACAGAATCTGCAGCTTGCTCATCAAGACCTTCTTGTTCTGATCCTAAATGAACAACAAAGAATATTCTATGATGACATTGAATGCATCTGTGGCTTTTTCTTCAAGATGTCACCCCTTGTGATGATGGCATCGACAAACATCAGCTTGATACACACTCAATGTAGCCTCTTTATTATCACAACGTCCTTATGTGAGAGTAGCGGGCGATCTTGCAAATGAATCCGTATGTTTTTGACTCTGACATAGCGTGACATATGGATGTGACGTATCGTTACAAAACGTGACATAGTCACGGGTCTTGTCGCACTTTGCATACTGGAGGCCCGAAAGTTTGCATATTTCAGGCTCATTTTGGAAGATTTTTGCGACACTCCTATATAGGAGTTGCCCGGGTCCTGTTTGGCATCCGCCCAGTAGCGCCCAGTACCCCGCCCTTCCTCACGTTACTTCACGTTCTACTCCCAATCACCACCCACAGCGCAATACAGCACAGCACACCGACTGAAAATGTCCGACGCACCCGCGCCCACTCTGCGTGTTGTTCCTGGTGCACCCCCGGTCGCGCAGCCGTCTAAGTCACAGAAGAAGAAACGCAAGCCCACGAAGTCTAAATCGGCAGAGACAGGCGGCGAGGTTGTCATCCCAGACGCAACATCGGCCGCGCTCATCGAGAAGGCGCCGTCGGAGGCGGACGTGAAGGAGGGCTCGGTGGCCCCCGAGCTCGTCTTGCAGCCCGAGGGCACAGGCACGCAGACACCCTTGGAGACCCTGAAGCAGAGTCCTATCGTGGAAATGCTCAACAAGCGGCTGAGGGCGATCCAGAAGAAGAGGGTGAGTGTGTATGCAATTTTTATGTCAGCTCTAGAATCTACATCGGCTCGCGTGATGTACTATGGCACGCGTACGAGTACACTGGCTTACGTTCGGCGATCTGCACGAACCTACAATGATAAGAGCATCTAATGACGGGCATGCATTTTCCAGACCCGAATTGGAGCGTATCAGGAGGTAACTCCTGAAAATTTGAATGAAGACCAAAAGCGGCTGCTCTCGACTCTTCCCAGTCTCGAAGCAGTGCGCAAGGAGCTGGAGGAAGTGAAGAAGGCAATTATGGTCAGTTGTTTTGTCAGATGGAAGTCATGGGATCAACGCTCAAACCCGTTTGAAGGTGCATGAAGCGGAGGTCGCTCAGGAGGTGCTGGCCAAACAAGCTGAGGTCGCCAGGATCGAGAGAGAGAAGACGCGGGAAGCGGTTGCTGCGACAGAGGTGAACATTCACGATGATTATCATATGGGACAGGTTATGACGGATCCTACTGTTTAGACATCTCATCGACGACAGACCTCTGATTTACTCCACTTTCTGCGTCTGAGGGATATGCTTTCCATTGGACATCCTCAGATAGTGGCTCTCGGGCTGAGCGAGCCGGAGGGTCTTGCGATCTATGGGGTGACGGATGCCTTGTTGAATGAGGAGTCGGATAACAGGGCTTCTGCGATCGACGGTTTGATATCTGGTGCAGGGGAGTTCAATGCAGTGCCTTGTATGTAACATATCCCTTGACGACGGGTTCTGCGCATTGACGTGTTCGGCAGATTCCCGCCTCGCAGAGATCACACAGCTCTTCTTGAACCCTCTTCAGCCCGAAGCATTCGCTGAGGTGTTGGCCGAGGAAGCCGTGGAAGAGCCTCCGGAGACAATTGAGCAAGTCGAGGCCAGCGTCGCAGGCATTCCCGCTATTATAGGCGGCACGGGCAGCTTCCACTTCATGCAGGAGGATGAGCTCGAGAATCAGGCTGCGGAACCTATCTTTGAGCAAGCACCATGGACGGAGGCTGCCGAGGCTGCGTCAGAGCCACAGCGTGAACAGCCTGCTGAGATCGAGATTACTGAGACGGTAGTTGAGGCTGACATCGACGGACGCACCGTTGTGCAAGACACAGTTACGGTCACGACGACCACAGAGGTAGGTTGCCTATACGGTGATTGTTAGATGACACTCACGGCGTTACAGGTACCGGAGCCAAGTGCAGGTGAAGGTGCGATCAACTGGGCGGATGAAGAGGAAGGTGGGCTGCCGTCCATCGGCAGCCTGCACGCGAAGTTCGGTACTTTTGGAGAGGCATCTCCTGCACCGAAGACCCCCACCTCGGTTCCTCCGACACCGGCTGCAAATGGTGTGAACGGACATGCGCCGGCTGCTGATGAGGAGGGGTTCACGCCGATGAGGGGCCGTGGGCGGTACATGCGAGGCGGCTTCCGTGGCGGCGAACGTGGAGGCTTCCGCGGTGGTCAGCGCGGCGGTCGTGGCGGTGAGCGCGGTGGCTTCCGCGGCGGCTTCCGTGGCGGTGAGCGGGGAGGTGCGTTTCGAGTAGCCATGCCTCTGGGAGTATCTCTAAAATTTCTCTAGGCTACCGTGGCAAGCCGACCGGTGAGCGGAGGGGCGGCGAGGGCGAGCCCCGCGGACGGGGACGTGGCCGTGGCCGCGGTAAGCTTGTGCATGCTCTACCCAATATCAGAGTGCTGATCTATATCTACAGGCTACGAAGCCCGCGGGGGCCCACCTGCTGCGACGGCCGCATAAAGCGGGTCGTTTTTACTCCGAGTGATTTTGATTCGTGCCGTCAAAAGGGGACACGACTCGCTATCGGTTGCAAATACACATGGGTAGCGATGTTAAAGCCCTCGTTCGTAGTGTCTTGAAATTGGACCCTGTTCAAGCTGCGTGTGATCTGCCGTGTATATACATAGCCTGCAAGCTGTTAGTCGACTGTCGCTGTCTGTTACGTTGTCTGCAACGAGTTGCCATCACGCGGGGCGAGATCCGGCGCTGATCATCGCTGATCACAGGGAGGCGCTGCATGCATGAGGCGTGACGTCACAACAATGTGTTCGACAGCGAAACTCTTTACGGGACATCTGCACGCGTCCGGTTGGCTTTAGTTTGCTTTCCTCCCCCCGTCTCTCCTCATCTCCCCCCGTCATGTCTCAAACAAAGAAAATTCAAGGCAAGATTTTCCGAGGCGAGAATGGCGTTGACAGCGACATCACTCCCTCCCGTTCGTCTTCCGACCCTACACTGACGATCAACATCCCGAAGCCTGCTGCCACCACCCCCGCACCGCCGCCCAAGTTGGCCAAAGCAGAGCTCTCGTCGTCTCCCAACAATGACGAGGGCAGCGCCGATTATAAGGTCTTTCGAGAAAGGCTCGCTGAGAAACTGGGCAGTGACTACCACGGCGCAGAGCGGTATCGCCTAGATCAGGACAGGAAGCGTGAGCTGCACTGGAAGAGATGGGGTCCGTATGTCAGCGACAGGCAATGGGTATGGCGCACTGCACTTCTAAGCTACGATCTGACTACAGTACATACATCTAGGCCACTGTTCGCGAAGATTACTCTGCGAACGGAGATGCGTGGAGCCACTTTCCCCATGAACACGCTCGCTCGCGCGCTTACAGGTGGGGTGAAGATGGCATCGCAGGTATCTCTGATAACCATGGACTGCTGAACTTCTCCCTATCTCTCTGGAACGGCCAAGATCGCATACTGAAGGAGCGACTCTTCGGTGTCACCGGACACCAGGGCAACCATGGCGAGGATGTCAAGGAGCTCTACTACTACCTCGATTCAACACCGACGCACTCCTACATGAAGTTCTTGTACAAGTACCCTCAGCGAGCATACCCCTATGAGGAGCTCGTGCAAGAGAACATGCATAGAGATCGTGATGTGTCTGAATTCGAAATCCTGGATACGGATGTGTTCGATGAGGACAGATATTGGGATGTCTTCCTAGAGGTAAGAAAAAGACGATCGCATCGTGTTGTTTCTGACGCTTCATCTTCTTTTAGTACGCCAAAGACGAGCAAGACCCTGACAGCATATACGTCCGCATCACTTCCTATAATCGCGGCCCAGAGCCTGCGACGCTGCACATTATACCCCAATTGTGGTTCACCAACACTTGGTCTTGGCCCGTCGAGAAGCCGCGTATGCCGTCCATGGCTGCCTTAGGTAACAGCGCCATCACCGCTAATCACCCAACCCTGGGAAGGCATTACTTGTATTGCCTCCCATCTCCACTTCCCGTCAGTTCCACGGGTTCTCCCGTTGTCGACGAAGATGCAGCCGATGGAGAAGAGGCAGACGTGGTGGAGCCGGAGTTGCTTTTCACAGAAAACAACACCAACTTCCAGAGGCTGTACGGAGGGCAGAATCAGACACCGTATGTGAAGGATGCGTTTCACGACTACCTCATTCCGTCGCACCGCTTGCCAGTAAAGAACGAGGAAGAGAAGGGAAAAGCTAGCTTCTTCTCGGCTAAGATTCACTCAAATACTTCTTGGCACGACGCAATCAGGACGAACGGTGGTCCAGCGGAGCCAGCTGACGAGGAGGAAGAGGAAGGGCCGCGTACACCATTTCCCGCGGACGCCGATTACGTGAACCCCGAGCAGCGTGGGACCAAGTCCGCAGCTCACTATGTCTTCAAGGACGTTCCACCACGAGGCGGTTGTGCTGTCGTACGGCTCAAACTCACTCGCAAAAAACCCGGTCAAGATCCCAGCATCGAAGACGAAGGCCTCTTCGATGATGCAATTGAGGAGCGCAGGGAGGAGGCGAACGAGTTCTACGCGGCCCTTGTCATGGGTCCGATGACCGACGATCTGAAGCAAATCATGAGGCAGGCTTTGGCAGGCATGCTGTGGACGAAGCAGTTCTACCAATTTGTTCAAAGGGACTGGTTACAGGGTGATCCTGCACAGCCGCCGCCGCCACCCGAGAGGAAATACGTCAGGAACAGGGTATGTTGTAAAATCGCAATATAGGACGCTGCTGATGGTACTTTGCCACAGGAATGGAAACATCTGTACATTCATGACATCCTGTCCATGCCTGACAAGTGCGCATTGGTAGATGCTATAATATAAGCGCATATACTCACTATATTTACCTCAGGTGGGAGTATCCGTTCTTTGCAGCTTGGGACACTGCTTTCCATTGCATCCCGCTCGCTGTAGTGGACCCCGAATTTGCGAAGAGTCAACTGGATCTGCTGACGCGCGAATGGTACATGAAGCCCGACGGCCAAATTCCTGCGTATGAGTGGAACTTCAGCGACGTCAACCCTCCTGTGCATGCATGGTGAGTTCAGCACCAAATATGAGAGTCCTTCAGCACTCACGCGTTTCTCTTTCAGGGCAACGTTTCGTGTGTTTAAGATCGAGCGGAAGCTGTACGGTCGAGAAGACCTGCAATTCCTGGAGCGTGTCTTCCAGAAATTGTTGCTTAACTTCACATGGTGAGCGGGACGTCTCGCATTAATATGCAGTGCCTCATCCGTTCGCATATAGGTGGGTCAACCGCAAAGACCAAGGGGGAAACAATGTCTTTGAAGGAGGTTTCCTCGGTCTGGACAACATTGGTGTCTTCAATCGTTCGGAGCCTCTTCCCACAGGCGGCGTCCTGCGGCAGGCAGATGGTACTGCGTGGATGGCCTTCTACTGTCTCAACATGTGAGCACGCTTTGTTCTCTTTCGCCTTCGTTTGATGACATTTTGCCTTAGGCTGAATATCGCTCTCGAGTTGGCGAAACACAACAATGTCTATGAAGACATTGCATCTAAGTTCTTTGAGGTGACGTCCGTAAAGGCTCAGACTGGAAGTCATCCTGACAGCATTCCGTGATAGCACTTCATTTTTATCGCGGACGCAATGACCTACCGGGAGGGCGAGAACGAAGTCGGCCTTTGGAATGAAAAAGACGGACTCTACTACGATGCCATCCAGTTCCCCTCAGGCCACACGATGCAACTGCCCGTACGCAGCCTAGTCGGACTCATTCCGTTGTATGCGACACTTGTGCTGGAGCCGGCCACGATCAACCGCTTTCCGGGCTTCAAGAAGCGCTTGGAGTGGTTCATCGAGAAAATGCCGGGGATTGCGGAGCGCAACTTGGCAAATATGAAGGGTATGTTTATCACCACCCTACCTCGCGGATATCTTTCAATTTATTCTGATCACAGACCGCGGCCGCGGCGAACGGAGGCTGCTGGCACTTGCGAGCAAAGAGCGGCTCACCTGCATTCTGGAGAAAATGCTTGACGAGGACGAGTTCTTCAGCGAGCATGGCATCCGGTCGTACGTGTGACATTGATTGTAGCGAGTCCACGGAACGCTCACTATGGCACTCAGCTTGTCTAAGAAGCACAAGGATCATCCATGGGGCATTGATGTAAAGGGCCAGCGATATGAGGTGAATTACTGGCCGGGTGATTCCAAGTCTGGGATGTTCGGAGGAAACTCAAACTGGAGAGGGCCCATCTGTATGTCCTTCTTGCGATGTGGTCCATGATGAGGTGGTTGAACCAGAACGCTTATGTTCTAGGGCTCGCGGTTAACTTCCTTCTCATTGAGAGCTTACAGCGGTTCTATCAATATTATGGCGACGAGCTACAGGTCCGTATTTGAGTGGGCTCTTTCTCCACAATTACTTACGTTGGACTGCAGGTCGAGTGCCCGACTGGAAGCGGTGACTACATGAACCTTGTGGAAGTTGCTGAGGAGATCCAGCACCGAATCATCCACATCTTTGGCCGCGACCAGGAGGGCAAGCGAGCGACGAATGGAGGAAACCCTAAGTTTGACCATGACCCACACTTCCGTGACTATGTGTGGTTCTATGAGGTTAGGGCTTGGTAATTGTTGGAGCGAGCATGCATACTCACCCATTGTATAGTTCTTCCACGCAGACGATGGCCGAGGATTGGGTGCATCGCATCAGACTGGATGGTAAGTGGGGGGATACTGTTTGCTTGTATGCAGTCAACATTAACGTGTCCTCTCCGCAACCCGACTAGGTCTGGTCTTGTTGCGTACCATATCTTGCAGAGCGGCGCGACTTGCCGCCTGCCGAGAACTCCCAAGAGTGAGCTCTTTAGCATTTCATCGCCAGCGTGGCGCTCACATACCATGTAGCTCCTCGCAGTCTCGCTCACCACTACTTTGATGTACGTATATTGACAATCGATCTTGTTGCCCTCGCTGAGTCAACATGCCTCACACAGGAACACATTGAATCACAATCAGAATATGGTGACGAAACGCACTCCCTGCACAGCGCCTATAGTGCGGCCGATCTCAACACGCTCGGTGATCTCTCACCTGATGCTCTATAAGTGCATTGTGTTATACGCCTGCAATACATCGACGATCACACTGGATTTGCGACGCGGCTGGACCGTATTGTACACATACTGACGACGCGGTCGTCGGTCGTCACCGGCCACGTATCAGACAACGGCCAACTGTAGCACCTTCAATCATGTCTTTTGTTAGTCATACGTACACGTTTGTATCGGAAGCAATGGGATCCTTTCACGATACGGAGCAGCGCATGAACATAGGCATCTTTAGAGAGGAAGGTTGTGAAGCCACAGGCGTGTTGCTCTGCTTTAATCTCCGACAAACGCGCTACGAGCATGTCCAGGTGGCCAGCTGATTCTGTTTTCTTGCCACATTGCTTTCTGTATCTATAACCCCTCATTCACATACCTCCGGTCGTGATGAGCGACGATGAAAACATGCAGATACTCATTGAGAACCTCTCTTCAAGTGTTGACTATGCAGATGACCAATTTCACCGAGATATATACAGTCGGTTCTCACCGTGTAGAACCATGTATGGCTGGCTTACGATCTCGCAGACCACATTCACGACAACATAGCGCCAGTGATGTCGAAGAATAGCTGCCCTTCTCTGCATGTGCTTGCCTATGCGATCCACAACATCACGAAGCCAGCATTCTTGGCCGACCGAGTGATCGACCTTCTTTCTCTGCTGGCACACGTGAACTTGCTGCGCAGAAAGGCTGTCTCTCAAGCTCTAATAGCCCTCAGGTGGAACGAATATTACTCTGAGCGCTCTCAAGCAGGTGTCGCTCTGATGGCAGCCGAAGAACGAAGGCTGCTGCGCAAACTCGTTTTGGAAGACGGTGCAGACCAGAATTTGTACAGGCTGATAAGAAATGCATGCGCTGAGTTTGTCGGTCTACGTGTTCTCATCTACGTTTGTATTATTGTGCTTATGATTATGCAGGACATTCATAACTGTTTTCTATATGCTCCTCCTACCATGTTCTGGTCGCGACTGCAGACGCACTTTCCAGGACAGTTTGCGGGTGACAAAGGGGAACAAAGCCACAGTCACACGGAAATAGGAGACAACATCAAGACGCTTCTGTTTCACCATGACCTCTCTGAGGAAGAACAGCTGGAAGACCAGGAGACCGCGAAACGATGCGCAAAGTTCATAAGCGATGCGGCGCAAATCGTAGAGGCTCCAGAGAAATACGATGCCTCAGCAGAGTCCGTGCTTACCTCCAATACCTGCCTTTCAACGTTGACCCCTTTGATTGCCCAGGACTGTCTATGCTCGAATCAGTAAACTGTTTCCTGACCCGGACGCGGAGCTCATCACTGAATTGGTCGACGACTACTTGTACAAAGTGGAAGCCCTCGTCCACGCAATTGTTCGAATCTTCGATGGCGTGGATTGGTAGCACAGAGGTACTCTCATGCACAGCAGCCATCGATTCGTGCCGACTTCGCATGTGAAAGCGTTTGTTCGTGTTTGACGTCATAAACCTACTCAGGACTTTAGAATATAATAGCTGCATCGCATACGCTCCTGAGGCAAATTTCATACTCTATCAGTATTTTGAACAGAACCAAACTATGTCGCAACGAACATCTAGTTGCCAGCACTACTACTGTCATACGATTCTTTCTCGAAAAAGGAATGTATCTACCTTGTGAGTACCTCTACATATACATACTGATATATAGGCATAGATATAACCGGTTCTGGATGTGTCTGTGTCGCAACTAAGATTCGGTACCTTCGTCAAGGCTCGGTGCCTCGTCTTCGACCGCTTCATCTTCCACCAGGCCCAGGTCGTACATCAAGGTCTCGAGGATCACCCCGGGCTTCACCAGGGTCGTCACCTGAAGCTCGTCTCCTAAACCGCCACTGGGTTTCGTGCATCGCCGCAGACCCAGTGCGATGGTACACAGGACATGCAACGACCGCTGTTCATCCGGTGCCAACCCTTCCACATCGGACATGTCCTCCATCTGCTCTGCGTTGTAGACGTCATCCACTTGCACGGAGACGACCTCTAGGTCGTGCGAGATGATTTGTTCCCCCATCATCTGTTGAAGCCGCAGTGCGGTGCCAGTGATTGTCTCCAGCTTCGAGTAGATCCCGCCGCGCATGAGTGGTTCGTCGATGCTCGCTCCGGAAACGACGAGGATGTCGCGGAGCCGCTCCATCAGCTGTCTACTGAAGCCTTCGGTGAGGTCCCGCCCATTGTACAGTCGCTGTTTGGAATATCGTCGCGTCAGCGCGCGCCAATGTCCTGACACAATTTGGCTCTCTGCTTCCAGAAGAATTAGTAAGACTAGCCCGTAAGCCGTGTAAGGTACGCACCGGACTTGCACATCTGCTTGTATATGCCCGCGAAGGTGGTGTTGTTCTGATGCTGGAAGTCCCAAGCAGAGATGATGCCGGATGTGAAGGCCACCATGTCGGCTTGCAATGCAATATGGACGAGGACAGGGTCCTCCTCGTGATGGATGGACTCCAACAGCTCCGCCATGATTGGACCCACCGCTTCCCTGGCACGTATCAGCGCTGCCGTGAACTCGACACCGCTGCGGACGCCTTCTGCACGGAAGGCATCTGCGAGCAGTGCAGCGGTTTGCGAAATCTCCGAGTTCAGGTCGAGGATGAGCTGTACGGCATCCGCGTCCGATTGGACATCCTCTACCTGGAGGCGATTCTGCACGTCTGATGCCTCGGTGCGTGCGGATGTCAAGGCAGCCTGAAGCCTGCTGAGCTCCTCTTCCGAGGTAAGTTCGCGCTCTAGAGCAAGTAGCTCCGCAACATGTAGCTGTGACTCGAGACTCTTCAGTCTCTTCGTCTGTGCTTGCAACGAAAGCTCTATCCTCTGCAGCGCTGATTCCTTCCTCCAGATCTCCCGTCTAGCTAGACCCTCCATGCCCCTCCAGAAGGTGACCTCCTGGTTCAGCCATTCGACCTTCAACTGCGTTTGTTCGTTTTCTTCATCTGGTTGCTCTGCACTCTCCTTCTCTCCTTCGGTGACGGAGCGAGCGTCCCCGTTCTGCTGCAGGATGTCGGAGGTGAAGAGAGAGGTACGCCATTGACAGGAGGATACCAGCAGTATGAGGCTTTGCGCGCATCGCAATGCAGTCACTGTCACCGCCACTTTCCAGGCGACCTGAACGAATGATGTGAGGACGGAGGGCATCGTGGTTCAGACTTTGCACCCTCCCGACCGGTCCATGAGAAGTATTAGTGTGAGCAGACATGCTGCCCGCGTCCACACTGTGGCAGTGCATAGCGGGGGACGAGAAGTGATCGCACCCACCGTTGATGACGAGCATGAGTCCGTCGCGCTTGCGTCTGTGCGTGTGCTCGGCCCTGCCATCATCGGTGGGATGAGGATCGGTGGCAGCAGTCTGCCGTGTGCATCAGTAAGTCATCCGCGATTGAACAAGAATGCCTCCTTAGGGCGGTGGGCCCTGGATATCAAGGTTATGGGCGGAACATGAGGCATCCTGATGCTGAACGCGTGGCCTGAAAAGCACCGAGCGCGGCGATCTTATGCTCATGCTGCCAGGGGAGCGACGGGAAGGGCATACGGTAAGAAGATCTAAGTGCAAAGACTGTCGATGGCAGCGCAGGCTACATCAAGTTGCTGCATCATGCGTGCCTACCGGATATGACTACGTTTCCTCGTGGCACCCAGCATGCCGCGAGCAGCTTCCGAACTTCATATTATCGGAAGACCCGAACCGCGGAACTGATTGAGCTCGACCCTCGATATAGTGAGTTGTTGCTCGGTGTAGACGCGCACTAACGCATGTCGCACATCGCAGTTCTCGATGCATGTGCAATCATGCCGTTTCATGACGGTTTCCGCGTGGGCAGGAAGACGAGACCACACAAGACTGCGCGTATGAATCACTGAGATAGCATGACAAATGGAGGAGTAGGTAATTGTCAATGCTAACTGACGGAGTGATCGCGAGATTCATTGTGGCCGCCCATCACCGATCGCGCGGAAGCTTCATCAAACAATATTGACTCTGCACAGAAGGTACGCGTTCATTAATGTCAATTGTCATGAAATAGCACGCACGATAGACAAATCGTCGTACAGAGTATGAAGCAGTTGCGTACTTTGACTAATGTGAATAAATGATGGGTTATGAGGTCATGAATGAGTTGATATCAAATGCAGAAATAATGACGGGGATGTGTAATGCAGACTGAAGCGCGAGAAGAGTTGCGTGCGACATAATGACCGGATCCAAGAATAACTGATCCAAATGCAAAGAACATAAATGATAGTATTAGGATTAGCATAACCAGTCCGTGGCGTCTGGGCCAGCATAGCCCGTCAGCAGCTCCGTAACAGCGTAACATGTGCAGGCAACATCAATATCGGACCGAAAACAAAAGGCAATAAAAAATCAAACCAAAAGAAAGCAGCCGGACGTCTACGTAGCCGTATCTTGCAACTTCTTTGTCGATCCGGAGCTATGCGCCGCCATCAGCACACTCTGCGCCCAATCTTCCTGCGTCCCCTCTACGTTCACCATGATCGATGGCATCGATGATGAGTACGACACCTGCGACAACTGCGACATTTGCGAGGCTTCCGAAGTCGAACGAGCCATTCTCATCACACGTAGTTTTCCTCTCTGACTTCCTCCACAGCCATTTTCCACCGTCTTACCCTCTTCCTCCATCTCCTTCTCCAATCGCCCGCCAACCGCCTCAAAAAAGCCCAGTGCACTGTGCGAGCGGCCTTGCACCTGATACAGATCAGCAATAGGCGTCTTGGGCGTCATTCCAAGAGGGGTCGTGTATAGCGAGGGAATTAATGAGTCCGTGCGCGAGCGTGGGTATATCGAGCGCGGCGAGGGCGACACAGGAGACAAGAACACATCCTCGTCTTGGTCGTTATCCTCGAGTTCCTCTGCCGGCGCATCGACTTTGACTATACTTGGGATCTCTGCTTTGGCTGTCACACGCTCTATCACAGGACTTCCGTCGAATCCAAGCGTGATGGGGGACGACGATATCGCAGTATCCAACTTCGGTGGGGCGACAGGCACGCTGCTCACAGGCATATCCTGCTGGACGATGGACTCGGGGCTCATCGACTGAGGCGACACCGGGGACATGGACTCTGACGTCGTTGGACTCGGCTTCTGCACAGGACTCAACGAGCGCACGAGGGATAGCGCGGGCAGCGACGCTGATGCTCCCGACGGCTGCGAATATACGGCAGTCTGCGTCTTAACATTCACGTCCACCGATGCCGTCCCAGCTGCCTGCTTGTTCAGCCCCGATCCCGAGAGCTTCTGCAGGAGCAGATGAAGGGATGGCCGCTTTGAACGGCCCCAGCTCGACGGTGGCGGACTGTTCACGACTACAGGAGCAGCGCTTGCCTGAGCAGCTTCCACACTGGACGCGGAGCCGACACTCGTGCCAGACACCGAGCGCATCTTCGAAAACGAGAGCAGTGTGCCGAACGACTTGCGCCGCGAGATCGGCGTGTTAGGCGTGCTCCCACCCGTGGCAGGGAAAGGCACCGAAATCCCCAGCGCAGCCGGAAGAGGTGCAGACGGGCTGACACGCGTGTTGACCAGCGGGCGGGGCGGCGCTGAAGGCAGCGCCATGTCGACCTTCTCTGTATCCACCAGCACGCCAAAGGAATCCTGCGAGCGGCTCATCGGGTGCGGCTGCACCGGCTTCTGATTTATGCTGCTCGAGTGCGGCTCTTCACGTTCGTCCAATTCGACATCGGTGTCTGTGTCCATTGAGGGACGACCATAGGGTCGGCTGTGTGGCTCCGGTGATGAAGGCTCTGCGGACGTCTCTGACGGCGAGCTGAGCGACTCGGCAGACGACGACAATGGAGGAACGCCATGTGAACTGTAGCCATCAGGCACTGCAGGGCTCGGAGAGCGTGTGGGCGCTGCAGAAGATGGCTCGGGTGCGGACACATACGAGGAATCATCTTTGAGCGAGACAGGCGAAATGGGACTGATAGGCGGGAGCAAGACAAGTTCAGGCGTTACATGTGTATGTCGATATTCGTCTTTATTGAGGTGGCCATCATCAGAAACTGCTACAGCCGCACCTTGAGCGTCTTCCGGTGTGTTGAGATTCGACTCCTCGTCTTCGGTAGGCTCATCCGTCGAGGAAGAGGATGGCTGTCTGGAGATGATATCTGACCCGCTATCCCCAGCATGCACCGTCTCTCGAGCAGTCACGAATGTAGCCCTGACGCCAGCGCCGTCTTCCTCCACGTCCGGCTCTTCCTCGGGCTGCGGCTTCGGCACACCCTGCCATATGCTCTCATGCTCACAGAGCACGCGGAGCAACGTAGGGTTCATGTTCAGACTAGGGCAAAACACCAATAGCAGATTCCCCAACGGCATCTTCGTCTCCTTGCTCCGCGCCGCTGTCGCACGGATGAGCTCGACTACCGTGTACAGCAGATCGCGGTTCTCGCGCGGGAGCTGCGAAATGAGCCACGCCAATGCGTTGAGCAGGCTCTCCGACATGGCGCGCCTGCCCGCGAAGGCTGGCACGGCGAGCGTCGAGAGTGACGGCGCCTTGCGCAAGAGTGCAGAGCCGCTACGGTGGTGCGAGGGCGCCGCGGATCTAACGGACCCATCCGCAGAAGAATCAATGCTTGTGCGAGCCGCTTCCCCTTCTGCCCCGAGCGCGGATTCAAAGTACGGAATCAGATTGGAGGTGAGTATCGACTCAGGCACTGCGGAAGCAATCGGAGCTATCTTAGCACGGACACAAAGTACATCCTGAGGGATGAGCACGCCACTTACGTTCGCGCAGGAACGTCTTGAAGATGGACGCGACGGCATGTGGGTCGAGGTCGCTGGGATCGCAGTTCTGCATGTCCCAGTCGGAGCCTGTACGGGGGTATAAGAACATCTGATCAGGCGATGAGGGCAGACCACCCACCTGCATCGAACTCTGACCGCAACTTGGCGACGTGCGACGATCGTCCGCTCACTCTGCCACAGCAGATGAGCGATCACGCATAACTGTGCTTCGTTAGGACTCACCGGAACAGACCCTCTTCCTCCACACCCCATTTCATCAAATGCTGCGCACACCGCACGACCACCGCCGGCAGCCTCCTCTCTTCCAGCGCAACGAGCACCACCTCGCCCGTTTGCCTATCCTCGACCTTCCCCTCCAGCTCCTCCGCCGCCAGCGCCTCCTTCACGCTGTCTATCGCCGACTCCTTCACACACGTCCTCAGATCCCGCTTAAACACTAACCCACCAATGATACTCGCGCCCGACGGCGTCCTCTTCGGCCCGCGCACCCTCCTCCCCAAGCTCGGCCCGCTCAATGCGAATCCATCCAAATCCGATGCAGATGCCGACGACGACGTCAGGCTCGGCGCGACGCTCGGTGCGCGGTGCCCAAAACGGCGCTTCTTCTGTCCGGCTCCGTGAGCACCACCTCCAAAGCCCGCCTGCGCGTGCATCTTCGTTGAATCGCGTGACACCGTGCGCCCGAGGCCTACCTCCGTCGACTGCAGCGAGGTCATCGACGCCGATGTCATCGGGCCCGCGCTCATATTTGCACTGGACGATCCCAAGCCCCATGCGCGGCCGACCTTCGACACCGCACGCTTTCCCAGACCCATCGCCGCGGGGCCCAGGCCACCCGTCATGCTCACTGCAGTCTGGCGGAAACCTGTCTGTGGCGAGGTTGAGCGCATCTGGGCTGCATTCCGGTTTTGCTGTAGTTGCTGTTGTTGCACCTTCCGCCTGGACGTCGGTGGGGGTGGGCGCTCGCCTTGGCTCATCGACGCTGCGGCCGTCCACGCGGCAAGCTTGCTCTTAATGTTGCTGCCCGTGCTATGTAGTGCGCCGGGCGCACTCGTTGGTGCAATAAATCCGTTCGCAGCAGCCCGCGTCAGCGTTGGCGCGTCCCGTGAATGCGTGGCCGACAGCGGCGTGTTCGGCACGCTCATTGCGTGACCGACAGAGGAGGACGCCTTGGGTGGGATCGGCACCATCTCTTCGACGACGCTCGTTCGCGTCCCATGCCCCGGACCAAGATTGAGCGATATTGACCTGCGATTGCGCGTCTTGATCGATCCTGCAGGGCTTGAGGTCAACTTTGTCCTCCGCATCTCCTTCTCCCTTTGCTGCTCTCTTGATACGACCCTCTCCAGCGCCTCCTCTGTTCTGCATGATATTCCCGGAATCTCCTCCGTCTCTTCCTCCTCCCAGTCTGAATGGTCCCCGGGGCCCTCCTCCAACACATTGAACTCCGCATCCGTGATCAGCGCGCTCAGTCGCTTATTGACTGGCGGAATGATGGTGTTCCCTGAGTGGCTCGACTCAGCTACCGACGTGGGCCTTGGCGAGCGGTTACCTCCCCGCGCGCCTGGCCGGATCGTGCTATGTGACATCACCGTCGAGTCGCTCTTCCGCCAATCCTCCTTGAGCCGCTCGCGCTCCTTATCGAACAATGGGGGTGAGGGTACCGATGGATGAGGAGGGAGCGGTGGCAGTTGATCCTTTACCGCACTCCGGATCCGCGATAATGGTGGTCCATCTGGATGAACACCCATGTGCGCAGTACGCGGTGCTCGCAATGACGGCTGTGGCGCGGCGAGTGGCGGTGAAAGAGGAGGCTCCTTGGGCGGCGGCGGTGGCGGCGACCCGCTGTAACTTGGCGACTTTGGCGACTGTCCAGAGACGGTGCGCTTCCCGCCGAAACCAAGCTTGTTTGATGCGATCTGAATGGGATTCAGCGCGCGGGGGCTGCGGGTGGTGGGCGGGCCGCCTGGGAGCCCATGGCTATCCGAGCTGGTACGCGATATGGTGTGGGAAAGGTCTGATACGGAGGAGCCGGGGTAGGAAGACGGTGGGAGGTCGCTGCTCGCGCGCTCCTTGCCCTTGCTCGTTGAGGAGAAGACGGAGGTGATGTCCTCGGATTTTTTCCTGCGGCCCCATGCACGCTTGAAGCGACCACCGGGGGAACTGGGGCGTGGTGGATCGACATTAGGTGGTGGATTAGAGCTTGGAGATGCGAGGACCTGACCCATCGGGTTTGCACTCGAGGTAGTCGCGCGGTGGCCACGCGCGAGAGCGAAGAAGCGGTGTTTGTTGCTGGGCGCAGGGGCGGGGGACGGGCTGGCGACGGGGTTGCGCCTGCACGAGTGCGAGTGAGAGGAAGAGGAAGAAGTGAATGAGGCGGAGAGATCGGTGCCGATATCAGACTGGCTGGAGTTGGAGGCTGCGGGGAGAAGGTCGGAAGGGGCTGCGGAGGAGAGGGAGCTGCTGGAGGAAGCGTGGGCATAGGCCTCGCGAGAGCGGGAGCGCGCGTGCGGATACTGCATGATGAGAACGGCGAGATGAGATGAGAGTGAAAGCAGCTACTAGATCCGACGTCGGCGTAAATGATAGCGAGATGGAGAGGTGAGCAGCGATACTTGAGGCAGCAGCGCAGTCGAGATGTGGGCCTCGGGACAAAGGGAAGGAGATAGGATGGAAGGCGGGGAAATAGATGGATGGGGCCTTGGGAAGGAGGCGGTGGGCGGAGTGTAGTCGAACAACGCGGAGGGTGCGAGGTGATGCTGGTGCGGGTGCGATCAAATGGTCATTGTGAGCGATAGAAACAGATATTGGAGGATATGCTTACAGGAATATCGCGTTGTTGATTACGGGTCAGGACATGGGCCTGGAGGAGGAAGGGAGGCGGGAGGGAAGGAGCGTAGTGCCACTGCAACGCCCAGCGCCTACTCCGCTGCGACCATCACTGCCGGTTAGACGCTGGCAATTTTGGGAAATGATTCCGCTGCGGGCACCGTCCTCATCGCCAACGCCATTCGCGTCCGAATTGTGCACGATTCGGCGCTGCGAATCCTCTCTCGACGTCCGTCCATCTCCTCTGCGGCTCGGATGGTTGTCGCCTGTTGCTCGATAGCGTGCCAATGCCTACCACGCGGCGAGAGGAACAAGCTGCTCCCGGAAATGCTTTTGTTCTATCATGCTGCAGGCCACGTTGATATGATAGCACCTCGGCAAAATGCTATAGAGTCTTCTCGTTCCTAGGACCCATCATTGCTCAAAAAGTCCCCGCGCCGCTGTTCGGTTTGAGCTGAAACTCATTTTTGAGACGCTTCCTGTCAATGCGTTCCGCATTAGTGATCCATCCATTGCATGACGAAGATTTGCGTCTTTGCACGACTTTTGACGCATTAAACCGGGAAACGTTCATGGTCGCCTTCGAAGCCTTTCCGAATAAGTCGCCTCCGCTGGCCTCTTCCTACGTTTCAGATTGTATCAAAATCGATAAACACCAACTCTTCAACAGATCGCACAAGATCGGCCGCCTGCATGAATTCAGACCTCGCGGTTACGCGCAAATGCATGATGTGAGGATTCTTTCTGAGGTGACCAATTTTAGTTGTATCTCTAGTAGTGGCACCTTGCACTTGAAACCCACACTTTTCGGCACCTGATCAACGCCGTTTCTTCCAGTATAGATGTCGGTCAGCAGTATAGAACACCATTCATTCCTGCTCAGCGCTCATTAATCACACTGTGATCCATTCATGAATCTGACAGATCCGAGATGCCTGTATAATTGTACTACATACTCTATTTCGGGCCCAACGTTCATAGCTCCGCTGATTGACAAAACAATAATGTTATGGTACCACGGCCGCGCCCTATAATAGCGCAGCCTCACTGTAATCTATCAGGTATGCCAACGGACGTAGGTCTAGTATCATCTTCACTCCAATGGAACCAGATTCAATTGCCTCATCCAACCTCCCTTCGATCTCATGGACCACAAACTACCCGTCACACTTCATCGCGCATTGATCCTGATCCACCTACTCCGGCGTCCAAGGAATGCCGACTGCGACAGCACCTCACTCCTCATCTCATCTCGCCCTTCCGCAACCTCACCCTCATCAGCCTAGAAGACTCACCGGCCTCATCATTCCCCTATGCAAAGTGCTTCCGGCGATCACGATCATGACGCGCCTAAGAACTCCTTCACGAGCTCGTATGTGAAAAATGACGTTGCGATGCTCGGCGCGACCTTGACTGTCTCGCGGAACAATTCATTTCCATCGTCAACGACAGGGCAGAGAGATGTGGCACACACAAACCAGAACGCTCGTCAGCCATCCAGACCTCCGCATATAGCAAGATAACACGCACGGAGATTCGGCCACAGTCCCCTATACAACCCCCTCGGGCCCTCCGTCCTCAAAATGGTCCTAAGTGCATCCAGTGCCCCGGTATACTTCAGCCCCATCGAACCCATGCCCGTCACTTGCATTTTCCTGCGGAGCACGTCAAACGGATATGTCAGCGTCTGCGAGATCGACCCTGAATGCGCGTGATGGTGTAAGCGTCATCGGGAGAAACGAGAGTGGTTTGGGGCACTCACCAGCCAATGCGCCACAGAGCAGCTTCCGCGGAACGCTGCTCTTTCCCGGCGGTGTGACAACGCCCCGCAGCGCCTCATACGCCGCAAAGTTGATCCCTGCAACCATCAGCACCGCAGCACAAGACCAGACAAGGTGAAACCCGCAAAGCAACGACATCAGCACCTCCGTCGCTAACACAAGCACGGGGTACGCACCGACGTATGGCGCAATGCCCGCCGAGGTGGCGACGATTCCACGGTAAAGCGCGCGCACGCCTCCCTCCTCGCGCATCACCTTGAGCGTCATCCCCCACACCGTCAGCTCCCCAGGGGTGAGCGCGCGCGCTGCCGAGGCAGTATGATACGCGGACGCGAGCGAAGGCTGGGAGGAGCGGGTAGAGGCGACGGGCGCGGATTGCTGAATTGGGATGGATGCGGTCGCGATGGAGAGCCGGGAGCGGATAAGGTCGAGTGGGTATGTCGAGCCTAGCGGGCGGACGACGTCATCAGTTAATGCTGATGTTTCGAGATTTGTGACAGATGCACGTACAGACCGATGTGATGCCTGCTAGTGCACCTGCCGTGAGGCGCGTCGGGGTATCGAGCTGTGTCGCTCCATAATTGGTGAGCCACTACTCCTCGATTCATTCGTCACTTCATCCTGTACATCCCGCATCAATTAAGGAGAACGTACCTTCTTCAACTGCTCATATGTCGCAAATTGCACCGCACTGCCGGAAGGATCTTGTTAAAATGAATGCACTGACGTCGACGCATGTTTCACGCACCTGTATGGTACAATGCGCAGGCAATTGATTCCGTTTCCGCGCATAAAGCCCCTGAAGCCCTCTTCCCGCCACATGCGCACGAGGCTCGCCCACACGCCCTTGTACTGCCCCTCTGCGGTGGTCGGCTGTACCTGCCTGTTGTGTACCATCCAATCAGTATCTGAGTTCACACCGCCGCAGAGCCAACACTCACTGGATAATCTTCAAACGCTCGAGAGGGCTAACCATCGTGCGCGATGCGGCGCCGGCGAGGCCGCCCGCAATGAAGTACGACGTGAGCTGAGGACTGAAGAAGGGCTGCTTCTGCTCGATGGCCACCGCAGATGCAGCCATCTGCAGCTTCTGTGCGGCCTGAAGCTGGGACTTGGACTCAACTTGACGCGATGTCATGTTTAGCGGTACAGGCGAGCAACGAGACACGGCATCAAGCGTTGGGAAGACAGTGTGTTATATGGCAGTGTCGATGACCAATGCAGTAGATATAGTGGCAAGGATCTTGCACAGGGCAAAGGAGTGGCAGTGTAGAGAGAGATGGCGAGGGAGAAGGGGAGGAGGAGGATGTGGGCTGGTGGGGAGCGTGATGGGTGGAGGGCTGTTCGAACTTCGCGCGGTGCGGAACTCAGTGTGCTGGCTCACAGCAACTGCAACTGCAGCGGCAGCGTCCAATCCACTCGCCTCCGTTCCGCAATCACGTGGCTCTGGCGCGTGTGTGGCACTCGCTCGCGGTCCGCGCACACTTGCTCGGGTCTCATCCGCCCAGCTGCTGCCTGCACCCACCCCATGTCCGACTCCGAGGATCATCCTTCTGTTGTTTGTCTGCGCTCTCCTGACTCTGATGAGGCGTTGCCTGGCTTCGAGCTCGGGGGCTTCATGGGCACATGGTGATTCCAATCATAATTGCCACTCGTGCAGTTTTAGCTTGACAGTCAAGGTCGATAGGTATGTGACGCATTCAACGCTGCCGATGTGGAAGGTGAACATGCAAGTGCTTTCCGGGACATGCGCTTGCTAATCGTGCATGGAATCTGTAGTCCAGGAAGGACGTTACCATCTCTTATACCCTCATACCCTCGTCCGCCGGACAGCCCATACAATTCGAGGACGTCGTCGAATATCGCTCTAAGAACGACCTCCCGACCTCTAAACGAAGTCGAATAGTCGGCATAGATACCCTCCTTCCCTCCTCGCTCGCGCCTAGGCCTGCAGGAACCGCAGCATCCTCCGAGAGAGCCACAGAAACTCGCTTTAAATGGAGAGGCAAAGGCTGGTTGCTCATCGCATCCTCTCGCTGGCATATTCTCGGCTGCAGCGCCACAGCCCACCCCGCGGACTCCCCCTCTGGCAGGCCAGAGTGGGCGCCTACCTCCTTCGAGAAGACCCCCTTCACACCTGCGGGCCTGGATGTATACTCCCGCACGCCCGAGGGCCTTCCTGCGGCGCTGCTTGAGGAGATTATTCACAGGGCAAAAGCATTAGGCGGCGATGTGAGCAAGCTGGCTGAACAGCTTTTTGAAGTCGGGCGAAGCGCGTCGTAGCACGGTCGGTTCTCGTCGTGATCGTCGCATCCCTTGATTCTCCATTCGCGTTACAGCTCGCTTCCTGATCGTAGCTACAGACGTCCCTAGACCTGCCGGGGGGAGTTTGACCTAGTGTATCATACCCATCATCCTTGTCATACCCATCATAGGCATCGCATGAGTTGCCTGCTTTGCTGTGCATGCGGTTTGCAGATCTCATGGTTCGATTTCGCCGGTTCCAGCGGGTTTCTCGCTCATGTCAGTACAGATAATCTCAGATTGCCATTCAAAAACTGCCCCTGGTTGCCCGTTGCTGAGAGGATGTCCCGAGAAGCGATGATGTGCGTCGTGCTCAGCCCCATTTGTTCTTGTTGCAAGCCGATTTCAACGGCGTTCTATCTTCAAAATCGTCAGCTAGGCGTGTCCTCAGGCGCCCCAGCTTTCCGAGAGTCAGGATTAATAATGGCGTGATATTCTCGTAAAGATGTACCGCGGTATATCGGAATACGACACTCAACATTCGTTAATTCGAGCCGGTCAAGCAAACCTACAAGCGATACATGCTGATGTCCCTACGAGCATCCAGCTGCAGTCCTTCCAGCTCATCGATAACCGTGACGAAAGACCAGAGACAAGTGAACGAGCCGAGACGGTAGAGCGAAGAGCGAACTGGAACCAGTCTCAGCGACACGCACAGTAGATGAGGAGACAAAAATGTGTCTGTGTGTATATGCAATGATGCGGATAGAGTACGAACAAATTAGGACCAGGGTAGAAACCAGATAGATGTCATGAGGGTCGTAATACACGGTATAGTCAAAGAACGTGGACAAGGCGCGGGGTCCCAAGTATAAGGATAATGGCAGTCAGGACAGGATCAGCGATGGTGATGCATTACAAACATAAGTGAGCGGCGGAAAGATCATGGGACGCGTAAGGTAATGCAGCCGGTGACAGATGAGCATATTGGTCATGAAAAAGCGGCAATGAGAACACCTCATTGCACGTACAGCGTAACTTGGTTCCCAGTGCCGAAGGACTCGAAGGCCATCTGCACGTCCTCTGTGGAACCAAGAGATACCAAGTCGCCGTCCTCATCCTTGTACTTCACGCGCAGCGGCCCGTCGTCTCTCCGCGGACCGCATAGCCTAATCTTTTTGCCAACCTTCTCCACCAATTCATCGTATTCGGTTGCTCGCGGGACCTGGATGACGAAGATATCTTCGTGGAAGTGAACCTTCACCTTTACCAGTCCTGAAAGCTGGGTGGTCGCGGATGTGACAACTTGATCGCTATGTTGCGATCGAGAGGTACGTGAGCTTGACATATTGGTCAATGATGACTCGCTCGAGCCAAATGGCGTGATCGGGGAGCCATTGCTCTGCGGGGAGTAGTCTGAGCTCTCGCCCGTTGTCGATTGACTCGAACCGCTCCCACGCTTCCTATGCTGACCCATCGAACTCTGAGACCTGCTCGTCCAAGGTACGGAAGTAGGAAGCGGGGGAGGCGGCATTTGCTGAGGAGGAGCATAGGCAGAGGGTTGACTTGCACTCCGTGAACGGAGCGGCGCGGGGACGCCTGAGCTGATCCGAGGGCTGCCGTTCGGGCGTGTCTCCGCCTGATCGTACGGATTTCGCAGCCGTGTCGAGCTGAACTGACTGCGTAAGGCAGGGCGTGATGCTATCGGCGAGGTCTCGCTGACATCCGGCGCGTAGCTCGCTGGGCTGCGAGATATTGATGGTCGTCCCGGGGTGAGTGCTGGGGGGAACTGCCCTCCAGCTGACGCGTGAGTGCTGTTTCGCATACTCTGAGGGAACCCATTGTAATCCGGCCGCCCAACCGGTGTCCCTCGGCCGGACGGTGGCAGTGACGTTGGTGGATACTCCTCGTACTCATCCTCGAGATCAACATCGAACCCGTCATGGGGTGGATATCCTTGCGGACCGTTGCCAAAACCGTTGGTGTTCGAGCCATTTGCTGCACTATTAGGCAGCGGTGGCTCGTCGCCAGCGGCTGCATACGGATGTCGAGGTAGGCGGGGAGGGCCGGACTGGTAGGGCGATGTGGCAGTGTATGAAGTCGTCCGTGAAAAGACAGAATTTGTCCTCTCTCGCTCTGAACCGTAAGACGAAGGTAGAGTCTGCCTTTGCTGATTGGAATGGCCAACGCCGTGGATATACGCAAGATGTGCCAGCCGCTGTGGGTTTCGTTCCGATGCACGTCGGTTCGCCGTCTCCTGGATGAGTCGATTCAGCTGGGTCTCCCACATCTTCAGTTGCTCTTCATTTCGACAGCGCAGCGTGAAGAACTCGAGATCATCATCGCCTCTCCAGTATACCGCCAGCGAATATTGACCTGTTCGATCCGTATTAGCACAATGTCAAAGTACAGAGGCAAGTAGATAAGCTCACCCGCGGCAACCTTGGGCTCAGCCCGAGTCACATTGTTGAGAAAGATGCGGCCCTTGAGGAGGAGGGGTGTGTTTCTTTTCTTCGAGGGTCCAGCCCCCGGAAGCGTCAACGGCGGAGGAGCAGGTGGCTTCTTGAGTATCGAGTTACTCTTACCCACTTTCCTCCCATTCGGTGGCGGAATGAGACACTCCTTGCAGCAGAGAATGATCTTCTCGAACAGGAAGACATGGTATTCCCGGTCCACCTCTGACTTTGTTACGGTGAAGATGTCATCGAGCAACAGCGTACCAAAGTTCGAGATATGATGACCTTTCCAGTCTTCGACACGTCCTTCGAGATTCTTCACTGTGGCATCATTCTCGGCTCGCCGCTGGGCCTCGTTGATCCTGTCTGTGATGCGCTTGGCGGCATCCACTCCCAGTTTCAGCTCGTCGCAGAACGGATAATCGGTCCCTTTCACAGCTTTAAGGAGCGACTACAAGCGCGATCGGCATCATTCAACCCCTGCAGCCGCTCTGAAACTCACCTCAAGTAGCAATGGATACTTGCATATCCTCTGCACAGGCTTGATCAAAAATGCTGGGAGATCCGACTTCAGCAACACACCGTCAAGCGCCTGTTTACGAATGTTTGGTTAGATCGTCCCGGCTGGAGTTGGTTGAAGCGACTTACACCAAGATTCGGCATCTCCTGCAGCATTATATCCGAGGCCGTAGTGTAATTGGCACAGTAGGGCTCGTAGACGGCGAAGTCATCCTCCTATTGTTCCATGAGTGGACGTTAGCTTGATCGTTTGACAATAAGAAACAATGCGATTGCCCGATCCAGCAAGACATCTTTTGTTGTTTGAGAATCACACTTACACTCTCTGTGAACGGGAAACCCCAGCGCTGCTCGTCCCATGATAACTCCGCGATACTCTCCAACTTAATTAGGAACTTTCGCTGGAAATTGAGCAGCTTGTTCAAACCTGGAAACAGCAGGTGAATCGTGTCTTGGTCTATCACGTTCATCTGTGAGGCCGCATTGGAGTATTTCTGAGGCAATCGGTGTAAGACCAATAGCTGCACACAATGTGACACGTGAAGCGCACCTGCATGACCTCCAAGTCCTGCACATATTTCCTCTCTGTTTCAACCAACTCTTTGATAATGTTGAAACGAGCGCCTCCGTCTGTACTGCTCGCTGTCACCCCGCTTTCTGACGTGAGAGACTCCGTAGACTGCTGCGCTGAAGCCAGTGCTGGAGATGACGGTGGTGGTTCAACGAAGACATCCTCTGGTAGACATCCAACAAGATTGATGACATTGTTCACAACCTGACAGCCGCATCAGCGGATAGTAGATCGACAGGCTTACTAAGAAGCCCACGTACCTTTACGAACCCATCTGTGGATTCTAGGTTCCACAGGTCGGTAACAGTAAATTGCTCGCAGCCGTCAATCTGCTTGATTTGCATCGAGAACAAGAGGATGGCGCGTTTCATCGCTTTCTCATTTACGGCATCGAACGAACTTGGGTCGGTGTCAATGCTGATAGACGTGTAAGGAGCAGAAAGGAGGTTAAACAGATAGCAGAGAGGAACACCCAGACGGAAGCAATGCCATAGCTGAGTCACCGGATCGGTGCCTCGCGAGGAGTCCGGAGAGGAGAGGGAGAGCCACTCAGAAAAGTCCTGGATGTGCATTAATCGACTGCGTAGGGCGGAACATTGCTGGTAGAGGGACGTCGACTGTGAAGCGGCTTTATTGAGCAGGGTGTTATTGGCGACGGGGGACTCGATGGTCGGAGTCGTGGCGGAGATCATAGACTTTTTGCGCCCGGCGACGGACGACATTAGGGGCGACGACGAACGTCGACGGGGATGGGTGAGTGGTGGTGAGAAGGAGGGATAGGATAGTCGTATAGAAACGGAGGTGTGCTTGGGCAGATAGAAGTCGGGGCTGCTTGGTTGGTGTACCCGATGGGAACCAACTCCGCTAAATATTTGTTCCTATTTGCCGTCCCGATATTCGTATTTCCCATACCAGACCGACCGCATTTAGACATTCCTGTTCCCACACTCCCACCCCCTCTTCCCCACCTTCCCACCGGAATCGCGCTTCTTTCGCGGCAGTTTGTGTAATGGCTCGCACATGTTGTGTGCTGCCTGTGGATCATCCTGACACTGCTCCTCCCGCTCGGGGCACACCGTGCGCGGGAATTCTCTGGACGTCGGCCAGGGGACTGGTTCCAGACACGCGAGAAAGTTTCAACCCGGTTCGTCTCCCGTCGTTCGCAGCATCAACCGCCCTAGCACCCACCCCAGAACGTCCCGCCGGATGCGGCCTCCGTCGCGCGACGCTCTGGTGCCTCCAAAAGGTACTTGTTCGAGTAGAGGAGCCCCTTGCGGTGACGACAATCTGATACGTGATGCGTTAACTGTTCTGCATTGCCCTCTGGGCACACTGCTCTCACGGCTGACTCTTCTATATAAGTCGTGTCCAAGACACCTGCTGATACGTCTCAAATCTCGGGTCGGCTCCAAAGCCCGCCTGTGTGGATGCGCTTTAATACGGCACTTGTTAAAGTCGACCGAACCGTGCGCGTTGGTTTTGTCTCGATGTGGCCCTGTTCAGCGATCTCAGACAATCGTTTCCCCCTCAGACGGATGAAGAGTACGATAGCTCATGTGGGGTGCCGCTGTCCCTGGTCTTGATCCGCCGTGGGTGGGAGCTGTTGTCAGCTTATGCATCCCATCAATTATGTGATAGATGCTGATCGCTTAAGCCACTTTGCACCGGCTGCGTTACACATGGATGGACCAAGCTGTAGCGCATCAAGATGCTTCACACTGATGACTGCTTATCCCCATGTGGTCAGCAGCTACTTCTAGTCGCGGGATCACTTCTCACCCGCTCAGTTCTGGCAATGCGCCGATGCATCTAAATCTTCCGTTTTGCAGTCACGCGAACTTCTCAATGACCCAGCGACTCTCCATTCTTGTCAAGTTCACATACTCCAGGCATTCTAACGGACTTGCGTCTCATGCTTCTAACGGCGCGTACGGCCGCATCTTCTGGTGGTGTGGTTCGAGCTAGAATATAGGCACAAATCCGTGGCCGCTTTGAATCCATGTCAACATACGCGCTGGTATGTCTCGCCCTGCTCAGTAAGTGTACGGTCAACAATAGTCGATTTGACATGCATGCATTCCATGCGTACACGAAAAATACAATAGGGCCGAACGACAGCGTTTAGCATACGCCAATGGCAAGTGGGTCGAACGTGAAAATTGTGAGGGACCTGTAGCCCATTGGCTATCCGTTGGGTAATGCAATTGCTATCGGTAAGGCCAAACTATCTGTCGGGAGTTCATGTGGCTTGCCCTGCCATGCGCCCTCCTCGCTGTCGACCACATCCAGGCAAGACAATACTCGGACCACAGTGAGATGGATGACAGTGCAACAATACCACCACGGCTCACCGGGACAGTTCAATCATGCAGGCGCGCTTGTCCAGAATAATAAAAACTCGGCTAGGTAGCCGCGCTCCCGTACTCGTATTGCAATACCCTTGAACTGGCCCCTTGCTATCAGTCCCTCGACTCGCTCAGTCCCTCAGCTGGTGGGGCATTAGGATCTACTTAAGGCAACCTGCGCGCATCATCAGACATCAGCCGAGCTGATCGAGGAACCCTGCAATTTCAAACAAAATAATGACACCAATGTAGTTTTGTGCACCAGGACGTGTGTGATTCGGACTGCGATAATTGGAATTTGAAGATGCGACAGCTTCGGGTAGTCCAACTAGTGAACGATGCGCGAAGACTGTAATACTGCTGACGAGGTGCCACAAGGCCATTTTAGTCGCTGCATGCAAAACGAACGACCTAGGATCGATGCGGTCAACATTTACCTCCATCTTCTATGAGCCGGGAAATGCAGGGGCTGCCATGACTCACTATTGTTTGTGCCGCTTTCCCACAATATTCCCACTACGACAGTAGTGGGTCCTGTGGGTTTGAAGCTCACAAGGCTCTCCGCCAAAATTAGCGATCGGGGGATCACGTCTGCCCTGAAGTGATCGCTCCATCGCTCGTCATGCCTCGTGATCTCTTTCCCCTAGCTAGCCTATTTTCCGTTACCTATCGACTTACATTACAGTTCCTTGTAATCGAACATCTGAAGTAAGCGCCGGTTAACGGAGGCGATGACTGCATCCATTACTTACCCTGCCAAACTAATTTATTTCGCGGCAAATAATGGATATGAAGCGTTGTTGCGTGTACACCCATGTTAAACAGAATATGAAGTGCCGGCTACAGAATTCGTGACCATCGTGTGATCGCACTCATCGTAGTGGGCGCTGCCGGCACCGGCCCTACCACCTTATGTTGCAGGCGGGCAGACAATGTGCGTAGGATTATGTTGCTATTTAACGCGCAATATGCAGCGTCGAATGGTCAGTCAACCGGAGCGAGTTTTGATATACCCTGTCAACCTCATACAGGGCCGCAAGGTGAAACCCATCAAGTAGGCTCTCGCCCGAGATGAAAGAAGCAGAAGTGCAGGCGAAATTTGGCGAACAGCACTACGACAGCTGGTAGCTCAGGCAGATGCTGCAGGAAGTTCTGAATAGCTCCGATGAGAACGAAAGAATAAGAAGCTAATACTTTTGTTGATCAAGCCACCCACGACGTCGATCAGCGAGCAAAAACAGCCTATAATCAACGACAATCCAGCTCCAGACAAGGTGAATGAAAGAGAGCAACGAGCACGACACGACTGGTCACTGTACTTAAAGTCCAGGCATACATCTGGAAGAGCGGCTCGATTCAAACTCCGCACGAACCTAATTGAACGATGGGACGCGTCTCCGTCGGCCCCCTGAAGACTCCAACCACGATCTATTCACCTCCGGGCAAGACCCATGGCACCAGCACGTACCGCAAACCGTCGTGGTCAGCGCGACCAGAATGCGCCAACGCACAATGCACCGACAGATTCTGTCCCGGACCCATCGAAGGAGATTTTTCTGGATCCCATGATGGGCACCCCTCTCCAGATTTACGTTGAGAAAGACGTCGAGAACAAAGAGGCAGTCGAGAACCTGATCAAGGTAAGTCGCGTCTAGCCATGCTCGTGAATTGCGAAATACTTTGTGGCGGCGGCGGCATGTTGCTGATGTGAATGCTGGAGTGTTTGTGCGCAAGTGTTGTTGAGCGAGGTCGCGTTGCTTTGTCATCTTTGGCTCGTATTAGGACTAGGACATACAGACTCGAGTGGCGAGGTACTGATTCTGTATACAGGAACATGGCGGCATCGTATCACAGGGGTATAGCAGCGTGCCTTATATCCTCGGTATGTGCATGATTGTCGTCATTTGTTCGTAAGAAGCGATCTTATGTGCCCACGCATTGTACCTCAGTGAATCCTCACAGGGAATCCGGTCAAAGTTTGTTTCGTCAATATGTTGGCAAGAAAGGCAAAATTGTTCTCGATGCCAAATGGGCGTACGAATGCGTCAAGGCCGGTGCCGTACAGACCTACCAAGATGACTGGGCTGGCTGCAAGGTGACCGGCAAGGAGCAGTATGTTTTATCTTTGCTTTACCTTTTCCATATCAAGTTGAACGTATTGACCAGAGTCTTGCCAGCAAGTCAGAATGCAGAAACACAAGCAGGGCCATCCTCTGGAGATGCTGGGGAGAATGACATTGCGCAACCGATGCCACCGACTCTTCCGCCCCCTCCCGCTGTCCTTCAGCAACAGCCTCCTCATGTCCCTCCAATGCTACCTCCGCCAATTTCAGCTTCTTCCTCAGATCCTCTCCTTCCACATCCACATCCTCACCCGCACCCTCCCCCGTACACATTTTACCCACCTCCTCATGTCGATTCTCGCGGCATGCCGCCTCCGCCCGTTCTTCATCCTCCCTCTGTACATCCTCCACAGACATGGCACGAGGGTGGAATTGCGCCTCAACAGACTCAGACTAACGCACCGCCTCCGCCTCCGGCGCATATAATGCCGCACGAAGCATACCGAGGCCCTCATGAATGGAGTAGCCCTTACCATCACCCTCCCCCTCCCGCCGTACCGCCTCCGGCTGCGATGATAGCAGGGCAACCACCTTATCAGGAGTATAGATATGGCCAAGAGCAGAGGCCCTGGCCCCCTACTGATTATTATCCAGAACAGGTGAGCACCGCTGTATATTAGCAGAGGCACGTCACAACTGACATCATTTCAAGCAATACGATCAAGCTTATAATGAGGACGCATATATGGACGAAGCAGGGCCTTCTAATGACGATTTGAGCACGACAGCAATATCATCCGAGAAAATGAGGGGTCGGAAGCGTATCAGGACCCAGGTACAGGCTTAACGTCTTTCGAGTGACTGCTTCTGACCTCGAACCAGCCACAGCCAGCACCTCCTGCATCTACTTTGGTGCTCAATCGTCGCAATCCTCCTGCGCGTTCACCTACTCCTCCGACCCGGGTCATCAAGAGCACTTATGGAGGCAATCTGTTCACTTCTGATGATGTATTGTACCTCAAGAGATACATCGACTACTGCCAAGAGCAAGGATTAGTCTTAAGGTCAGCTATTTAGAGTTTTCGATGGACTCATGACTAAGCACTCTCACCAGCTTGCGAGAGATATGCGAGCGGATCGCTGTCAAGGTAAGCGTTGCAACGTGTCTTGTCAAATCTCGACTGACAAAATCTCCGCTTAGGCACCCCACCATACGTGTGTAGCCATCTCACATGCAGCGCTTCTTGCTGACTGTGTATCAGGTTCTACTCGTGGCGTCGCTATTGTAATAAACATCAAATTCGGCTCGGAGGATATGCCATGGATGTGCGTGACGCGGAGGACGACCATGGCCGTGGTGAGCAGCCCAGTGAGCAAGGTCAAGGCCAGGCCGAAGACGAGTCACACGCTCCGCTTCCCGGTGCAGGGCCAGATACGATAGCTGCTGCGCGGCGCGCAGTTGCTGCCGATATCAATCGCACGAGGTCACCAACCCCTCCCAGGGCACTGTTCAGGAGCACCACTGGAAAAGGTGTCGCGTTCACTGATGAAGATGTCACTTTCCTCGTGCGGTTCCTCGAGTATCGCAACAGGACGCAAGGAGGCAAGATGGATATGGTGTCTTTCTGGAAGGATGTCGCGTCGAAGGTCGGTAACAACTCTACTAAATGTGTATTGTTGATTGATTATCTATCAGGCCCCCCACCACTCTCGTGCGAGCTGGATGAAGTTCTACCGGAGGCACAAGCATGAATTGCATCATACAGAAGGTGATGCGCCTCTGCCTGCGCCTCCGGAGAAGAAGATGAGGTACAGTCGCTCTGACGATGTGCTGCTCGCCAAGTACTTCTTCCACAAGCCTGAGGGCACTTCCGACAAGATTTTCCAAGAGTTTGGGCGGATGGTATGCTCGTGTGGTCGATGTCGCGCTTATCATCATGCTCACGGTTCTGCGTTAATAGCAACCTCACCATCCCTGGAAGGGCTGGCAAGAGCACCATCGGATACACAAAGCCAAGATCGACCATCTTATACAGCAGCTTGCCAACGGAGAGAACATTGAAGTTGGTCCGGACGATTAGGCGTTGTGCAGTATTCATGTAGGCTGTCGTTAGCATTGTAGCCATGTGAACACTGGCGTCGGTGAATGGCATAATCTGAAACTGTACCAGATGTAGCACGATCAGTGCCGTCCGAATAAGTTATCGTTGGTGGCTGATATTAGTGATGATAAGTGCCGTATCGTAGTATCAGCAGTTGAATCTGAACAGCTATCTCCCTACTGACGCTCAGGCTATGCCGTCGACCGTAAAGAAACTAGAATATCTCACTCAGGAGCAGGTTGAGAAGGTTGGCATGTTCAACATGATACGCTTTTGTGTTGAATGATCTAAATAAGAGGGCCATTATCGGCTACCACAGTTCCGTCGGGACGGGTAGTTAGACGCTTCCTTGTTCTTCGTACTCAAGCTCATTACCATACAGTTACCTTCGGCTGCCCAGCTTTTTAAGCCCGGAAGATACAGAAGCGTTGCTGGAACGTTCCAAGCAGCTGCTTGAAAGTTTCACTATCGAAGACCATCCGTTGGTGAGCATGCTGGCACCTTATCTACCGTATATGCTCGTCTGACTGTCTTTCAGACTAGGTTCACAACTGGGGACGACAACCACGTCGGAGATGACTACTTCCTCACTTCAGGAGACAAGATCCGCTATTTCCTCGAGGAAGATGCAGTTGGGCCGGACGGCAAGCTGAACAGGCCTAAGGATAGGGCAGTCAACAAGATCGGGCATGGTGAGCAGCTACATCATCGTAGTAACTAGTAAGCAGGCTAGATTGCATGCGATGCGTCCCAGGACTGCATGAACAAGATCCAGTGTTCCGCAAGGTCACTCTGGAGAATGAGGCGATGGAATCGGTCGTGCGCGATCTGCAGTTTCATCACGACCCTGTTGGTGCGTAGTTGCTCCATGTCCCGGTATTACACAATGCATCTTGATATTGTTTATACCGTAGCGCTGCAGTCCATGGTGATTTGCAAGCAACCTCAGATCGGTGGGGAAGGTAGGTGGGTCGGCAACCCAACGCTGCGCGCAGCTGCTGATTGTTCATGCCTTCCTGCAATGCCGCATGCAGTGCCTGAGCACAATGATTCGTACGTGTTTTCTCTCATGCATATCGAGCCAGTTTGGTTGAGCACGATCTATGCCTATCTCAGGACGTTCCTTGTAAGCCCGGTTTAACTACTATCGTTTGTTCCCCGAACAGTAACTTTGCTCCGCTAGTACACCGATCCTCCGACAGCGCTCGGGGTCTGGATAGCGCTGGAGAAGTGCACGTCAGAGAACGGTGCCCTCTCCTTCCTCCCGGGCTCCCACCTCACCGCTCCGATCACGAAACGCTTCGTTCGCCTTCCACAGGGCGGCACTGGCTTCGAGATCCTGATACCTCCTGACAGGGCACCGAAGGTTCCAGAAGGAAAGTATCTGCTAGAAGCCTGCATGCCCGGTGAGCGGATCCCATCTTGCAAATTAGTGGTTTCTGATGATTGTTGCGCAGGCGATATGGTCCTCATCCACGGAAGCGTGCTGCACAAGTCGGAGAAGAATCTCAGCCCCAATACGCGCTTTGCATACGCGTTCCACATGATTGAGTCCCCGCCGTACGCGACATATGATGACAAGAACTGGCTGCAGCCCACTGCTGAGACGCCGTTCCCTCATATTCTGGACGAGCCCAACCCTAGGACAGTTCCTGTTAGTGCGTGAGCGTTCAGGGCATGCAGATGCGCGCGCCCATTCAACGTTAACCGTGTATGTTGTCGTTGTACGTTCTCTGTATCATTACATAAGAGTTCTCATGGTGCATCGGCATTCTGTTGCACCCAACAATCGTCGTCTATAGTCCTCGGAATACTTCTATCTTAGCAGTCTCCCCGATTTTCTGTGCCGACAACTTGCCCAGCTCGTCAATGAGGGCGGGCAAGAACGTCCCGCTGCCTTTGACGTCCTCCCTTGCGGCCGCATACTCGGAAGACACCGTGAGAGCTAGCACTCTGCCAGATCATGTCAAGAAATCATACGCATCAATCAATCAGCGAATCCGACTCACCCTCCCACAGCAGCAACGAGCATATCACCGCGCACGAGTTTCCCATCCTCCAATTGCGACTCGCTGCCGATCTCATCTAACCGCCCTGCCGCGCAGAAGGTCGCCACACAGGTGCCGACCATACATCCGGACCCGGTGATCTCGCCCAGATAAGGATGGCCGTTGGACAAGCGAACGACGATCTCTCCGTTCGAGACGTAGTCTTGTACACCGGTCAGGACGACTATGCTGCCTAGGGATCATAGTCAGAAAGTGACAGGTGCGCGGGATGCGTGATGGAATTTCGACGTACGCTCTTTCCGGGCGAGATCGCGTACGAAGTTGACTGGGTCTTTAAAGCCTGTACCGACGCTGTCCACGCCTTTTGATTGAACCTACTTTGGTGTCAGCGGCGGTTGCTGAGAGAACCTTTCATGCGGGCAATCACGGACCTCTTGAGAGTTCGCCAACGAAGCGAGTTCTCCTGCGTTGCCTTTGATGACCGTGGCTTGCCATGTATTAAGCAGCGCTGCGAATGACAAGAACATAATGTCAGGACAACAGTGAGATTCGCATCACACACGATATCGCACGCACTATCGGCAGATGTTCGCCTGTACCGCGATGAGCCCACACCTACAGGGTCGAACACGATCGGCTTGCGGTTTATATTCGCATGCCTGCCTGAACATCAGGTTGAATCGAGAGGAGCGCAGCTCGGCTGAGGATATAGACGAACCTGCCAAAAGCATCCCGTCCAGATCTGCGATAGTGCCGAAGTTGGCGAGCAGCGCGCCGATGGCCTTGCTCAGGTCTTCCATCTCTTGTGGGGCGGTGGCCATGATCGGTGATGCGCCCAGAGCGAGGGTGGCGTTTGCAGACTGGGTGGTTACGACGGTGTTCGTAATCTGAGATATCATCAGCAGGATAAGTCCGCGAAGAACTCCAGACATTTCTGCAAAATTACCTGCTGAATTAAAGGGCCATGTTCTCTGATGGAGGATATCAATGCCCCGACGCGGTCCTTCAGATACTCGGGAGAATAAATGCCACTTGGAAGAGAGAATCTTGACGGCGGGTTGGACTTGAATGCCCGTACGATGGTGGCGAGCTTTTCGGCCGCGACTTTAGGTTCCGGTGACGCCACGATATCACTCACCACCGCCAATCCATCGAGCGTGTGACCTGTCGTAGACACTGCTCCGTGCAAGCAATGCAAGGCATTTGTCGACTTGATTCCACCTGAGTGCACATAGAGTGTAAGCAACAAGTTTCATAATGGTTAACTCCAGCATGATTACCGATCGAGACTGCCTTGACATTCGTCCCATCAAGAGCCTTTAGCATGTCCCCAAGGCCCCTCACGCCAACAACGGGACTTGTCAGCTTCTTGGTCTGAGTAGTCCATGCCGGCCCAATGCCGACATAATCAGCACCATCCTTGACCGCTTGTTTGACATGCTCCACCGTGTTGCAAGTAACGCCGATAACCGCATTATCCGGAAGCAGAGAACGAGCAACCGCTATGGGCATGTCGGTCTGTCCAATGTGGACGCCATCAGCGCCCATGCCGAGGGCAATATCGATGCGGTCATTAATGAGGATAGGTACGTTGTACTTTCGGCATATTTCCTTGGACCTACGGGCGATCTCGAGGAACTGCGAGACTTCAACGTGAGGTTGGAATGTCAAGTGGAGGCACGGCTGACCTCCCCAGTTTCAGTGTTTTTCTCTCTGATCTGCACGAGAGTCACGCCTCCCTGTAAGGACTAGACAGAGAATAAAGTCGGTCGTTAACGCGCGGAGAGTACAGAAATGCTCTCTACTTCTTCGAGGGATTCGAAGTAGTCCTGTTCGATGCATTTAGTCTCAATCCACAATCCACATCTACGGGACCTCTCGTCTGACCTTGCACTGTGGTAGCAGCTCGCGACCTGTCACCAGATACAGCGAGTAATCGATTGTCGGCTTCGGTCGAGTCATGAGAAAAAGAATTTCGTGATATTCGTGATCTTCGGTGACTAGGCTCCCAATAAAAGACACAGACGAAATGCTCCGTAAAGGAGAATCTGTAGGAGGAGACGGATGGCGCGAGATAGGAGATGAGCGGACGCCGGACGTGAGGGTCGTCTCACACTCAGGTAGTACATATTCACTGGCAGGTACATACTACATACGGGTCTCGCGCTCCTCGATCGTGATCGATCGCGATTGATGCAACGAGGATACTACCGTGGCCGTGGCCAGTTCCAAGTCCACTATTCCCGCTACGATAGTAGAGGGTCTTAGGGTAACGTCAAATCACGTGCACAGCCACAACATCATCTTGGCACTCGCTTCAGCACAGTTTGCCCATTCCTTGCTCATCAGTGCCTCACTGCGCACAGTTTCCTTCAAGTCCTAAAAGTATCTGACATAGTCGTGCTCTAATTCATGCTCATTCAAGTAGATGATGGACCAGACGAGGTCACTTGCGTACCTCGTCTGATGCCTACAGGCGTTTTACGCGCTATCCCGTAACATTTTCTTACTATGAAATATCATGTCCTTTTGCTATAACTACAACTACCGACCTACATACACGATGCTACTGGACAGAATACAGAAGACAGCGGTTAACAGATGTTAATGCTACCTAAATAATGTGCTTTGTCTTTGCATTTGGATTGTACCCGGCTCGCGGTTACCAGGTGTCGTACACATTGTTCCATAACATTTCTTTAGCATGAACTATATCACCCATTATATAACCGCAACCGCCACCAGCAGATATACTCATATAATCGGCGAAATGCGATACATGGACAGTCGGAGACCGTGAACACACGGGAAAAAAACCTGCTGACAGTCCC